GCTGGCTAGGGTTTCTGAATGAGAGGGGCAACTGTAATACCGTCCCATAAGGTACATTTTTGTAAGCCTATTTCCTTTTTGTATACTAGCTTTACTTTATGAAGACACTAACTTTATTTTGGTTAGTGTTCTACTCTACATTTCTATTGTTATCTTTTACAATATTATTATCATGAATATAATGTTTAGTATTTCTGCTTTTCTAGAAGGACGTGTTACATTTCCCATCATTTGAAACTACTAAGGAGAAAAATGTATATAAAAGTTCAAAGGGCTTTATTGTCGTATTCACAGCTACAGTTTAGGTATGCAATGTCAACCAATAATACAACTTAAATATATATAAGACATCAAAAAAAAGTGCAAGAAGAAACAACAAGAAGAAACAGAGAAGTAAGAAAATGCTGCAAGAGAATGGTGCTATATATGCAATGCATGAAAAGTTAACTATATGCAGGTAAAATAGAATAAGATGAGGTAATGTAAATGCCGTACAGTGAAATAAAACACTAATTCTAGTTAAACATGTGAGATGCAAACAGATGAATGGTATGAAGTTGTGAAGGTACATAGTGTTGCTGGGGTGATGGGGTCTTTGATAATCCTGTGGGCCATATCCCTAGAGATAAGTTATTGTAGTGTGTATACTTAAAGCAAGACATCTAACTGAGAGTATGCATGCTCTTAAATATTTCCCTGGATTACAGGAATATTGAAAACATTCCCATTTGTTTCCTCCTCTCAGATTTTCCACTATGAACACCCCAGTGCCAACATCATGGATGAGGGTTTCAGCGACCGTTTAGAGTGGCATGGGACAAAAAACAGCGACATTCAAATAGGAGCCATTTACATCCATAACGTCACCTTTAATGAAATGGGGACGTTCCGCTGCACAATCCACCGCACCCTCTTCCTGCGGCAGCACAATGAGAACGTCACTGTGGAGAAGGAGGTGGAGCTCACTGTGGTGGCTGTAGGTAGGTGGGGTGTACATGTGAAGGCTCAGGTCCTTCACTTTAGTACAATATCTAATACAACTATGTACAAATATTCAGAAAGATATGCAAGTAGCCTAATAATTATGTAGGAAAATGCCCGCTGTGACTAATGTATGTTTAAAATATTTGATCATTTTAGAGTTTGGGCCTTGAACAGTTAGAAGTTCAAATGCAAATATATTCTTTGAGGAAACTGAAAGGAATATTTTTTAGTAAGGGGTCAAGATCCGGCAATGTTGGAAAACACCGGCATACTGTGTCAGGTCAATGTTAGGTTTCTAAAAGGTTGTCTGACACTTGGATTTGGGGAGAAAAATGTGTTGGTATCCAAAGTGTGGATGATAAAGTGGAGCGTGGGTGGGATTGAAACAAGAAACAGTGACTTAAGTATGACCTGCCAATCAAGTAAACACAATCCAAAACGTAGTTCAACACAGGGGACAGAACTTTGGCTCTATAGGAGAACAATACACTTTTTGATAAGATTGCCAAAAACATTGTAAGAGTGGTGTTCCACTCAACCCAGTTATTGAGAGACCTAAAATTTGGATAACAATACTTTCCCTCATTTTAAAACCTAAAAATAATCAATTCTAAGGCACTCTTGCATCGGCTTAATTTGTTTTCACTTTTCAGAGCCACAGTTGACGTCCCCCTGTTTTAAAGCATTTCTAGGTTCATGATTGTAGGTTATGACTTAAACAGAAACGTTTTACATTTAATCTATATTTCTAACTTCCATTTTTTACAAGGCTCTGCACAAAAGACTAAAACCTGCAGACACGCTTCCTCTATTTTGCTACATGTTGATTTTCTTCCCCAGCCAATCGGGAGCTGACATCGGTGATCGCAGAGATCATGATGTACGTGCTGATCGTGGTTCTGCAGCTGTGGCTCATTGGGGTTCTGATCTACTGCTACAAGAAGATTTCAGAAGAGTACGAAGCTCGGGAGACCCACAAAGCTCTTAAAGCTCAGGCAGTGTAAGTCATTAGTCTTTTAGGGGATGCATTACCAAATTGATTGATTGTATTCAACATTAAACTGGGTCATACATTTGAAAACAGTATAAGTGTTTGACCAAATGGTGTCCATTTTTCTGATTGTCTTCATTTTGTACACAATGAGGTTCAGATCAATCTTTTTATCACATCTTTTCTTTTTAATTTCTAGGCTTGCAAAAGACAACTGTGATGGGGTGCAGCTAGAGTGACATTACCAGTGAGTTGGATTTATCCTAAACAATTATACACAATTACTGGCTTGCACAACGTCTTATTTAGGAAAATGTGATCATATTACACATATCATACGCATGTGTTTCTGCTTAACTGTTTTTATTTTGTATCCATCAGGTAAAAAAGATCTTCTCTGCGAGATTGAAGCTTCTAACTGTACCACAAATGGCACAATTACTGTATAAGAAGTTACAGAAGCCCGGTTGTTTATGCTGAATCTATTATTAACTGTAACCAGAATCAGATGAACGTTTGTAGAATTGTGAAAAAAAAGTCTTTTTTCAAGGTCTTTGAAAACAAATGGCCTTCAATTTAGGAAAACAATTTTTTTATGAATCTTTGAATAGTCAATGATGTACTTTAATCATAAACATTTTTGAAATTCCCAGAGATAATTCCCTAAAATGACGTTTTTACTTTTTGCATACTGCGTTTGATAAAGTCCTGATAACACAGAAGTATTCAACTTAAAACAATGAGATGTAGAAATGCAAGAAGCCTTGGTAATGCTGCTCCTCTAGGTCATAACAAGTTTATCAGTTATCTAAACGACCATTGACAAACTACTGACTTATTAATTCAGTATTTCTTAACACTTAAAAGCACTGACACTTATTTATCTGCATGCCTTAGCGCTCAGTTCTACAGGATCAATAGTGAAAACAGAAATGTGTGTCGATAAAATATATAGCTTCAAGTTGACTGGTGGTGCAACGGGCTGATTTGTGTACCAAAAGCTGCTCTTAATGCAGCTCAAGACATTAATATGATCTTATGATAGATAGGCCTAAATTGGAACACTTTATATTTTGAGATTTTAACGTGAGAGTGAATGATAACATTGATATCTTTCATTGTTAAGCAGGATGTCAGGATGTCGGACTAAACATATCCGACGGTGGTTTTCTGCACGATAAAGTTTGTAATTTAACTTGAATAAAATACATGTTTTTATAAATGGTTTTGCTTTCTGTCTTTTTCTGTCTTGGCAAAGAAATGTAACATAATAACCTTACAATTTTCCACTACTGAAGAATTTCATACGTTCTCTGGATTTTGCCTGTTATATTTTTCGTAAGAATCCTGGGTAACCTTGTCTGAAAATGTTTTGGAGAAGATACAACATGGATCTCTTGACTTTGCACTGCTTGCCAATCCCACTACAGAATATTAAAAAAATATGTAGCGATAAACAGGCCTATCTTAAATCCAGTTTAATAGGTTTCAGAACACACACACACACACACACACACACACACACACACACACACACACACACACACACACACACACACACACACACACACACACACACACACACACACACACACACACACACACACACACACACACCACACACACACACACACACACACACACACACACACACACACACACACACAAGACTGAGTTAAAGGACGTTTGGAGGTGATAGTGTGAAACACGATCTAGTCTGAGCTGCAGACTGTCCTCCGCTCTGAAAGCAGCTTTGTTCTCCTGCTGAAGCCTGGAACCTCCTCCTCCTCCTGCAAAATGCGACATTAGAGATTAGATAAATAATTAAGACAATGCATCCATCCACATACACTGTTCACACAATGGGTTTAAACACTGTATTTTAGCCTGAAGTGATGATGAAAACTGTATCTCTTTGCAATACTTAATATAGTTGTTTTCTTGATTTCTGGTGTCACACAATTCTTTTTCACATTGAACATAAAGACATTAAACCCACATGACATATTTTTAGAATGACTATCATGACATCTTACCAAGTAAACAAGACAATATCCTTACTCAATTAGTATGCTCGTCTATACATTGGTTAATTTTAGTTTCACCAGTAGAAGAGTTGTTTAAGTCAAGCTACACCACTGCCTCGCTATACTGAGCTTTTGACCTTGGCCTGTGACCTCCTCATTTCATTAAAAGTGTTGACAAGTTGAACATGCAGCATATCTCTTCCCAGACAAGCATGAGCATGAAGGAGGGCCCATTATGACCAAGACAGGCGTAAATGTTGCTTCTATTCAACGTGTAGTTTAAGAGCTGCTTCTAATCCTGCTGGAGATTGAACACGAGTTGAAAAGATCGATGTTTGCTGATGACAACGGAAACTAATTCCATTTCCTTGAAAGGTAGGCTTTCCTTTTTACTGCATGTAGCAGGAATAATGAAAAAACACTTATTTGAGGGTGAGCCTTTTTGTATCAGTTCCCTTTTAATCTCACCGCACCAAATCTAACCCTTACATTTTGATTATTCAGCGCTTTCATTTCAGTTTTTTTGCGGTACTCATCACAGGATACAATTCCAACGTGTTACTTTAACATGAAGACATACAAATGCGTTGCTTAATACAAATGTATACATTCTGGATAACTGGGATTTATTTTCAAATCACTCTGAGGTACATGTTACTTTGTGACACTTAGATCAATGTCTTGCTTATTATGCCTCCCATTTAGCTACTCAATCTTTTTTTGTAATACTTTAATGTGCCTACATTCCTGCAGATTTGATTTGAAATGTCTTTTGGCAACTCATGAAATCAGCAATCTGCAACTCAGGAATAAAGTCCTAATTTGCCTCTGAGTGGTTGTAACATGTTAGAAGGAACAATTCAGGTATTATTAAAGCTAAATGATACAATAGTAAACCAAAGTGTAATTCCTGCAGAGATAGTGGTATTACTGTGAGATGAATCTTTTTCTTACAGTCTCCTCTCTCTTCCAGTTGCAGTTAGCTAAGCGCCCAGCAGAGGTCGGCCATGTCACACATCAACACCACAGAGCTGCAGTCGCTCCTGCTCTCATTCCTGCAGCACTGCCTCAACAGCACAGGCATGCTGTCTCCACAGCTGCCTCAGAACTACACTACCCAGCAGGCTGTGCACCAAGGGGCCGGAGCCAGGGCCAACTCACAGTCTCAGGGCATGCTGTATATCCTGCTGGTAGTTGGCATGTTCAGCTTCTTCACATTCGGCATCATGCTAAGCTACATTCGCTCCAAGAAGCTTGAGAGCTCTCAAGATCCGTACCACCAGTACATCGCCCACGACTGGACCAAGGTGGTGTCTCGGTCCAGGGCCGTCGCCCAGGCGCTGCACAGGGAAGCAGAAGGAAATGGAGCCAGAGGCAAGGAACCCATCGTCATCTGCAACCCTGCAACACTGGAGCAGCTGCCAGACTAGAATGAGACATTTAGCTATTTAAACACTTCCCAGTCAAACATCTAATACACTGTTAACACTAGATTTTTGATCACCTTAACTTTTAATGACACAGCACCAGAATTTACAGTGTTAGGTGTGTTTTTTTCAGATTAGTAATTTCATAGAATGTAGGCTACCTCATGTTCTTTATCAACACAATGCAGTTCCTCACATTTTACAGTCACATACCCATGGTGGCTCAATACTGCTTAGCCAATAGCACCTGATGACAATCCAGCATATCTGCACAACAACAGTGACACAGAAACAAATTGGCGACAGAATCGTTTCTGATTGCATATACTGTAAGTGTCTCTAAAATATTACCCCTATTGATTTTACAGTTTGATTCAGAGTTTTAGTATTTTAATCCGAGAAAGTTCTTCATCCAACACAGCAGGCCTTGTTTTGTGTTTTGAGGCTTGGTTACTGCGTTGGATCTTTTTTTCTCTTCCTTCTACCTCTCTCGCTCCTTTTCTCTCACTCTCTCTCTCTGCTGGTCCAGTCTGTGTTGGTGTGCTCCTTTCACAGCTCGGTCAATCTCTCGTGATAAACTGAAGTGAACCATTAGCTGGGCGTGCCTGAACCCACACCCTCGTAGCTGAGGTAGTGTCTGTGGGGAAAGGCTTTACCTCTTGAATTATCTTCATCCTCCACTTGCTTGCCTCCATCTGTGCGATTGGTCTTATGGCCCAGAACTGCACGGTAGGCCTCCTCAACTCGAGCAAAAAGCATTGCATCTGCAGTTGGAGCGCCAGAGTCTGGGTGATAGAGCTTGGCGAGGCGCAGGTAGGCCTCTTTCACCTGACCTGGACTGCTTTGTGCCTCGTCAGGCAGCTGGAGGATCCTGTAGCTCTCTCGCAGGCTTCGGCTCATCTGGTGCATTGAGCTGAGCTCTCTGAGCAACAGGGACTGTCGAGACAAAACGAGTAGAAAACGGCCATGGTAGAAGCCGCTGCGGGAAACTAGGAGGTGGAAAGGGCAACTCATTTCTAGCACACTCCTGCGGATTTAAACATTTTAAAAGGTTATTGTAGACAACCAGTCATATACATTATGTTTCAATAAAAAGGTAGCTGATTCTGTCAGGTAGGAGATTACTACCAGAAGTACAAATAAGCTTAAAGGTGGGGTAGGTAAGTTTGAGAAACCGGCTCGAGATACACTTTTTTTTATATTCCATGGAATGCTCTTAACATCCCGATAGCAATGAATATCTTAAGTGCTTTGACAAAAAATCTGTTTAGCCGGCCCGGCTAAACGGATTGGATTGCCGCCCTGTCTGTCAGCCTTCCATCTCGTGCACGCACAAATGTATCTCGTGCCCTCATTGGGCGTGCATTGCAGCAGTACTTCGCCAGCAACAGGCGGCCACTTTCACCAGTCTGCTGACGTCATGTGCGCGTTCATGTGTGTTGGAGGAGGTGCTCTGTAAGGAAGTCTGAAGGAAGGGGCGGATTCTTTTCGGCTGTGTACTTTCAAATTTCAGTGCACTCGAGCCGGTTTCTGAAACTTACCTACCCCACCTTTAAATGAAGCCTCAAACTAAATATTTGGTTTCTTTACTTTTAGCCTTTGGATGTTTTACGAATCTGATAGTTGGGTTAACTTTCAAATTAAATCTATTTTGCTTTGATTTGGTGTTAACTGTGTTTTGATCTGTCTGCAAACAGAATTGGGGGCAATAAATAAAGATTGATTGATAAAGGGTAACTCAATGTTTTTCACCTGTCCTTATAATGAATATCCCTATTTTTAACACATTTATAATATTGGTAATACATTTTGAAATTGTATGCTTCACGTAACCCTTGTGTTCTTATTAACTTTATATCCTCATTTAATGTCATGTGGCCTCACAGACCCTGCTGTATGTGTGAACATGATTGCAAAAATAAATAAATGTTTTCCCCTTTATATGTTGTTCATTTTCTTCTGAACTCATAGAAATCCTAAATGATTGAGGTGATACGTCTGTGCCATAACCTACGTTAACGTTAGCTTTCTGAGCAGTCAGCTCAAATAGTAAAATAACTACACTGAGTTTTGTTCATAACTTTTCATACAAGATCACACAGTTGTGTTGCATTGTCATCATGAAAAAACAAGACTAAAACTAACTTGAATGACTTACTGACACAAATCGCAGTAAATGCCTCTCACATATCCACATTAATAACTATTATATGACAACAAAGATACGGTTTGCGTTGATGGTTGATTCACTGCTAGCTAGGAAACACTATGACTTCAGGAATAAGTAAAACAAAATAGAATATGTTTCACGAATTAACGCTGAACACCGAATAGACCAAGCCTGTTTTGACCATATGAATGTAACGTTTGTATTATATAACCTTCTACTTTAAACCTAAGACAAATGTATGCTTACCTGAGTGCGGCTCGTAGTTGTTACATACTGGACCTTCTTCTTCTTCTGCTACCTCGCATCGCCCTCTATCGTCCATCTGGTAACCTGGCAACAGGAGGGCACTACAGGAAACGGGAAGGATCAAAAGACTCAAATCCAGTACACTCGGCAATAGTAAAGAAATTAGAGTGACTGTGACTCTAACAATAATTATGGAAGTAATACATAATAATTCTCCTAGCTCTTTAGTTTTTTACCCCATTATTCTTGCTTCATATTGATTTTCAATTTTCAGTTTGAATCAAAAGCTAAGAACCACAAATAACAATCAGAATATAAAACATTTTTAAAAATAATTTTTTATTTGACCATCCACAAAAAGTCAGCCATCGTTGTTACAAACTGGTACATTCAAAGGATTCAGTACATCCATATGGTAAAAGGACACATTTGTATAGCAACTTTAAAGAAGGCAGTTTGGAGTGCTTTATTAAGAGCATTATTAAAGAAAAACGTTGACTGCAAAAAACTGAAATAATGACACAAAATACATACATTGTATTTTAGGTATAAATCTTGAAAAAAACTGAATAAAATATACATTAAGGCAGTGGTTTTCAAACTGTGGGGCGCGACCCCTGATGGGTCGCGGAGGTACTGCAGGGGGGTCGCGGGAAGATTTTTTTATTTTATTATTTTCTCCTTTTAGCTTTGTGAAGCACCTTGAGATTACGTTGTTTTTAAAGTGCACCTATATAAATCAAATGTATTGTTATTATTATTATTATTCAATTGTAAACAAACAATGCTCGAAAATATCTCATTGGTGAGAGAGCTGTGGGCATAATGCTGTCTTTTGCAACATCCTACTTGTGTGAGATAGGCTTTTTCTGCTGTTGCTGCCATCAAAACGAAATACAGATCAAAGCTGAACATTGAGAATGAACTGAGAGGGGCAGTCTCAAAACAACAGCCCCGGTTTGAAAAGATCTGCAAGGGAAAGCAAGCACACACAAGTAATTTATAAACTAGTGTGGAATAGGAATGGTAAAGTGATGTGATCGTTTGCAACCTGCAGTAGAAATAGTAGTTAATTAATATATTTTCCTTAAAGAAATTTGAATTTAAAAATCTACTACTCAGGGAAGAAGGCCAACCCGTTTTAATTAGGCCAAATTAATTCACAGTATCTATTACAAGCACTTTTGTTCATGTGTAATCCATAATAAAATACAAAAGCATTTTATTATATTTAATAATATTTAATATATTTATTATATATTATTATTATTATTATTATTATAGTAGTTCGATCTTTGTATCTTCTTTTTATTAGCAGAGAAAATGTAATGTTTTTACAACAATATACAATTAATCCTACCAATATAGATGGGAACCGGGTTGTGGGGTCCCGAAAATATTTCCAATACCCAAGGAGGTCCCGACTGAAAAAGTTTGGGAACCACTGCACTAAGGTATAAACTGTATGAAAAATCCTCAACAATAATCAATGACTTATTGCTTAACTTTGAGAAAGTGAGGGACATTTCTTTACCTCTGAAAAGTATTTACAATCATTTTCCACTTCTGTTTTGAAAACTTTGCAAAATTCAGTATGACTGATATCCTAAAGATATGTTACTGAAGAAAACATTTACGTTTTGTTGCTGAATAGATAAACGTGAATACATCTGCAATTCTGGAAGAGTTGAATCGTGATAAAAAATATACATTTGTGTGTATCAAAATATGGCGATGGTGATGATCATTTTCATCCAGCATTCACTGAATGAAAGCTTGTTTAGAACCAGAAAGATGTCTCCTTGCTCACTCTCTGGATCCGTGTTCATCTACTGAGTTTCTTTGAGAAAGGAAAAGCCATTGTTAGTGCAATTTATGGCTCACCAACCTTAAATGTTAACACAGAGAGAGATCAATAAAACACAAACACAGATATGGTTGAGATTAATTATTATTCAGTTGCACAACAACAAACAATAATGGGGAAACATTTACCTTGCTTCACAGCAACCAATCGCAGAAATAATAAAATAATAAAATTCAATAACGTTCTTCAACCACCAGGTGTCCCTTTCTATCAGCTCTGCACCGTTATGGTGTAAATACAGCCTATCTACCAATTGGATCAAATATAAAAGTCAGCCGAATTAGTTTTGATATTGCAAGGAGACGTATTGTGTGAAAAGAAATGTAAGATGTTGTTTAATGGCTGATATATTTATGATCCAAGTCACGTTTTCAGTTCCTCATGTTTGTCTAGAAGTCTTCTCAGCAGGGCTCTATAAATAGAGAATTACGGCAATTACTGCAATATTTAATGCAGCCGAACCGTGTATTACAATGCCGTTACGTGATGACTTTCAAAGAGAAAAGCAAGCACACTCGGAATAAAGTATTATTTTATTTTTAAAATACGTTTTCGATTTCACATCACATAAACACCAAATCCCAGCATGCATTGCGGCTAAACCATCCAATCATCGAGCTGAGGATCTTGCCTACCTCTGTTTCCGGTTTAGTTTATCACTGATGTATTTTGTTATACACACACATTCCTTCACATTTACATTTTAATTTGCATTAAAGTATTTCGTGAGGCCTTTTAACATGTTTTTAAATATAACTACGGTTGTAGTTGAAGAGTTTGTAAATTAACATGAACCGAAGCTGTTGCCTGGCAACTCAATCTTACAACGTCACGTCCGTTAATTCCACATCCACACCTATGATCCACACGCATGGATTAACATCGATTTAATACATTAATGTAGCCTTTGTTTCTGCTAAAAAAGGTGTCGACCAGCTGGGGAAACAAGAAAATTGGTGTAATTGAGTGTGACTATTACAAAATAAATCATTACGTCGGGGTAGCATTTGCTTGGCATTTCCGGTTATTTCTCCACTTGTTAACATGGGTTAACAATACCGTGTAACTGTCACGTTTGAAGGGACGAAATCGTGACATCTTCACGTCTCCCAGCATGGTAAATCATCACATGTTCACGTCTTGCCGTGATACCGGGTTGCTCATCATGACAGAGTAATTCATATCTTGTCAGGATATGAATTTCCCAAATAACAAAACATATCCTACGTTTGCACATGAATGCACACACTTATCTTTACATTAACTAACACACGAACCTCAATGTTTTCCCTCTAACTCTATTATATGCTAAACATCCTCTTTGTCAGCTCACTTTAAGTGAATAATTAGCAAAGAGACGATTAGCCTCTTAGCTCTGGAAACTGTATACTTCAATAACTTACCTAGTTACCAAGATTGATCTAACACCATCAGTGACAAAAGATCATACTCAGTTGACTTTAAGGAAACGTAAAAAGCTTCATTGCTTCAAATTACACTATAACATCTGGTAGTCAAACAAATAAATAATCTGATGTTCAAGAGTAAAGTCTACACTCATGCTACTAAATCTATAAGGAAGTGTGTGCAAAGCTTTGAGTGATGTGTTCACATCCGCATGCTTACATGATAATTTGTAACAAGTTGATTGTTTAACACGTTCACCATCTTAGCTTAGCATGATACCATGTGCCAAAATACAGAATGATGATTATCTTACGTCATAATGGCTCTCGGCACCTACCTTCCTCCGCAGTATCCTCAAGCTGATTATCCTTCAGCTGCAACACATTAAATGGAAATTCAAATTGGGGTAAAATCAGCCAAAATTGTTTCTTTGTTAAAAATAAACCAAAACATGTAGGCACAAAGCTAAAGCCTTTTTCAGACACGGAATATGTAACATTGCTGGTTTAAGCTATAGTTCCCAACACCATGATGGAAAATAATTCCCAATAAACCGATTTGACATAGAAAATACATTTACTCTAGACAAAGAAAGGCAGAGGCATTTGTTTTTCGTGTTTTCGTACATCCTTTTTCAATCTGAAATCTGCTTTTCGTTAGTATTTCATTTCATTTTCAAACCTTTATTTAACCAGATTGGTCCCTTGAGATCATAGATCTCTTTTTCAAGGGAGACCTGCAGCAAATAGGTTCCACATGAAACAAGCATAAAACAATAAAGGACATCATACATTATATTTACAGGCTACATTTACATAGTTATCGACATTTACAAGTAGCCTACCCATGGTATCAAAAAGCATTTCACTTAGCCTAGCTTTAAAAACATGCAGAGGAATGAATCTGATATCAGGATGGCAGTAAATCTACACATCTTCTGTCATAGACTGAAAACTGATGCACCTTGGCTAATAAATCAAATGAAAAAAATATCACATTTCTGAATGTAGCACCTAAAAAGTGTTGGCTTATTTTAAGCAGATGCAGTAGCACTTTAAATTGTTTTTCTTACTTAAAGAAAATGTCCTGGCAGGATTCCTACTTTTTTTATTTCTATCTTCATGGTTGATTGCACTTATTGTAAGTCGCTTGAATGTAATATAAAAATGCCACTATTTGTCAGTTTCTTCACAACTTACCTTTGGATTCTGAGCCGATGTCTGACAACTTCTGCACCAGGTCATTCCTGTTTATTTTCTGGAAAATCTTCTTGGTCACCTCCAAGGACTTTTGGCTGTAGGTCTGCGACATCAGATCCACCAGGTCTAATCTGTTACTGTTCTCCAGTTGGCTGCATGAGATGCGTGGGAGGCCTGCGAGGACGTCACTGTACTGCAGGAACCACTTAAATCTGTTGAACTCTTCCTGTCCCAAATCTTCCAGCATTTTCAAAAGCCTCTCTTTTGTCGTTGTGATTGATGCCACCTGAGGATTTAAAAGTGAACAAAGGGAGTTATTATTGGGGTATAATGTCATAGCTGAAAAGCTCACCTGAATGCAACATCAGTTGTGGGAGGACCATCAAATGAAAGCTGTTTTGATTGTTTTTACTCACCCCCGGCATCTCATCAGAAGAGTGTTCCACTGAAGAGAAAGCAATTAAAAAATATTGTATGAATGATTGATTGAACATCTTACTTCCAACACTTTGTAGAGACTATTTTGATTCAAATAAATACATTACAATGGCTTTATCACAGAATGATCAGAAATGTTGGCAGCATGTCAGCTTTCACAAATGTTGTGAGTAATTTAATAAAACCCCAAAATGTAGCTAGTTGGGTTTATGTTCTCTTTCCTGTCCTGTGTTTCTGCAGTTCTAAAAACTCCAACAGAGTGACATATCTTCTCTCTAGCGGATTGCGTCAATGTCAGGAGCCAGTACAGATGTATTGCTCTCCATTTTGACACAGCAGACAAATTACTTTCATTAATCATTATATTAATTAAATCGGGCTAGTTTTACGTAGAATTGCTCCACCTGGTTGTAAACCAAAAGTGTTCTCAGGGTGTGTGCAGTTCAGCTGGCAGATGTGTTCACAGACATCTTCAACAGGTCCCTGCTGCAGTCTGTAGTCCCTGCATGTTTCAAACACTCCATCGTTCCTGTCCCCAAAAATAATAAAACCACCAGCCTCAATGACTACCGCCCAGTGGCACTCACCTCCATCATCATGAAGTACTTTGCGCTGTTAGTCAAAACATTCATCACCTCCTCCCTCCCTGACTCTCTGGACCCCCTGCAGTTTGCCTACAGAGCAAACAGGTCCACAGACGCCATCACCCTCACCATCCACAGTGCCCTCTCACACCTGGACAAGAGGAACACATATGTGAGAATGCTGTTCATCGACTACAGTTCAGCTTTCAACACCATTGTGCCTTCAAAGCTGGTCCTCAAGCTCAGAGACCTCGGGCTCAACAGTGCCCTCTGTTATTGGATCCTGAACTTCCTGACGGGCAGACCCCAGGCAGTGCGGATGGGAAACATCACATCCTCCAACCTGACCCTCAACACCGGAGAACCTCAGGGCTGCGTGCTCAGCCCTCTCCTCTACTCCCTGTTCACAAACGACTGACCGAGTTTACCGACGACACGACCGCCATCAGCCTGATCACGACGGCGTACAGAGAGGAGGTCAGAACCCTGATATCTTAGTGCCAGGATAACAACTTCCATCTTAACGTCGGCAAAACCAAGGAGCTAATTGTGGATTGCAGAAAGCAGCAGAGAGAGGGACACGCCCCTATCGCCATAAACGGTACTACTGGAAAGAGTCAGCCGCTTCAGGTTCGTTGGTGTCCATATCACTGAGGAGCTGACATGGACTATCACACAAACACCATCACCAAAACAGCTCGACAGTGGCTCTTCTTCCTCTGCAGGCTGGGGAGGTTCAACATGGACTCCAGGATACTCTGCAACTTCTACAGGTGCACGATAGAGAGCACCCTGACCTTCTACAGGTGCACCATAGAGAGCACCCTGACCTTGTACAGGTGCACGATAGAGCATCCTGACTGGCTGCATCACGGCCTGGTATGGCAGCTGCACCGCCCTCAACCGTAAGACTCTACAGAGGGTGGTGAAAACTGCAGCACAGGACCAGGACGGAGCTGCCATCCATGGAGGACCTCTACTCCCAGCGGCTCAGGAAGAAAGCCCTCAGGATTATCAAAGACCCCCATCACCCCAGCAACAAACTGTTCTGTCTGCTGCCAAATGGCAGGCGGTACTGCATGCAACAGGACAAAAACCACCAGACTCAGAGACAGTTTCATCCCAGAGTCCATAAGACTATTCAACACCTAAGCTTGCAGAATTTACATTTTTGTTGTTGTTTTTCCATATATATATGTTTTTATGTGAAGTAATTGCACTGTTGAGGAACCTGCGATCTAAGTTTTTCATCCTTAACAACACCATAGTTGTGTTTAAGTGATGACAATACATCTTTGAATCTTGAATCAAAGGTTGCTTAAAAACAGCTTTTCTGTAGCACTGCACAGTCAGACAACAGAAAATAACTTGCGATCCAATGGACCAGTAACGGAGGGTTGTCCACCTGTCTCTTTCACTGCAAAACTATCTTACCATCTGAATCACCAGAGTTTCGTAACTCAACTGAAATACAGAACATACAAAATATGTATTTTTCATATTTCTTTTTCATGTATTGTATTCTCATCAACACGTTAAAATAATGTTAATTTTTTATATGTTTGGACATACAATGGGATTGGGATCTCTTTAATTTAATATAATCCTTTTGCATAACACCTTAGTTAATTAAAGGTAAAAGACAGATTTAATTATTTATTTTTTCATATGGTGTACATTAAGTAATAATTCCTACTGACCTTTTCGAATCACACAGCTCCATACTGGTGGTAACTGTGGTTCCCCGTTGTTAAGTTGAGAGAGTGTAAGGTGGAAGTTACTGTCTGGATTCTCAAAGCCCACGTCAAAGAATATTGGGTGTTGCTTTTCTTGGCTATCATTGGTGAGGGTTATTTTCTGTGTGAGAAGAAACAAAAAATAAATAACAGAGAGAGATGATAACATGAGATGTGAGGGTCAATATTGAATAAACTAAAGATTTAAGTTGTTAAAAAAAAGTGAATTAGTCACATGGCCAACAGAAATGATGCTGCTTATTTCAAATGGAGAAGTCCTTATTGTTGAACTTAAGTTTGATGGTATATGCATGCCTCTTTTTTTACTAAATTCACAATTTGATCTGCCACTGGTAAATTACAAGCATATATTTTCCCACATTCGCTCCCCTAGATTAACAGATTTTGGCAACTGAACCATAGCTAATTCTTCTGTATGTATGGGATATCTTATTATGTCTTTATTAAACAAGGACCATGCATAACAATACATTAATTACAAAAAGGGAAGAGATGATGTATGGTATAATTTAGCTATTAGCTCATTTCCATCTGCAGTCCCTGGGTAGGTAAAAACCTAATAATAATAATAATACTTTTATTTTGGGGGGCGCCTTTCATAGCACCCAAGGACACCTTACAGGGCATAGGGGCAATATAGGGAACAATTAAAACAGTGGATTTAGTGAGATATCAGCCGGGGTAAGACAAGACAAACAACAGTAAATGGACTACAGAATAATCAACAAAAGTGCAGATGTATGAAATAAAAATACCAGCATATTTTACGCTCAGCTCGAAACATATTCCAATGCCTGGTGGTTGTAAATTAAAAAGCTGATGGTGCAAAGGTAATCCACCTCAGTGGGATGTTTAAGACTAGTGGAGATCTTGAGGTTCTGACTATTTGTGAGTTCCCTTGATATTGATATATTAAACAGTAGCCATTTTGACGTCTCACTGCAAGGTTGACACAGGTATTATTTACAAAATGAATAACTGTCCCATTTGAATTAGTGTCACATCCATTCTAGTCTAGTCAGCATTAGCAATACCAGGAACCTGGCCCATCTACATGAAACATAATAAAATAATATTCACAATGAACAGATCAGATTGCTGACTGGCAATGCAAACTGTACCTCTGGGAAAATCTTGTCTGTTGTTATGTCTGCTGTGAGGTTGAAATCTTGGTGCAGCGTCAGGCCCTCGTTTGGGCGTGGCTTTTCGATAAATCTGAAGTCTTTTTTTTTCTTGTCGATGGTCTGGGGAAAGAAATCAATCTAAGAACAACCCTGCTTCAAGTTTACAGTAAGAAACATCTGTGTTTAAAATGCATTCATGAAACAATAATGTTTTAACAACAGAGTATTAGGGTCAGTATCTAGAAAAATAAATGTTTATTTTAGATTTTGTTATTTCAGAATAGCTACTGAGGAAAAGGTCATGATAAGAAAGTCATACCTTCGAAAAAAATGTCTTTAACGTTTTGAGAGTAACTAAATAAGTGAGATCAAACCAAGCTGCAGCGTCATCGACAATTACCACCGAATAGGTCTGAGGCACGTCTGTGATTGTATTTAACATTTATAGCAACATGTGAAACAGTTAAATTGGCTTAAATGCTTTTCTGTTTGAAGCAGCTCTCCATGGAGCAGAACTTTCCCTCGAGTGATAATCTAAAAAACGAAATGATATCTCGCTTGATAAGTATTATCAGGGAACACATTATAACACAATGAAAAGTATAAGGTTATATGTCAACCATGTATCGATCATTGAGAGTCATGTTGCAAACATAGCTAGCTCTGTTTGTAGGGACTTGGCTTGGCGACCAGAGGGTTGCAGGTTCAAGTCCCTGAATGGATAAAGTGAAGAGTGGGGACTGATACTTTGTGAGGTGGCAGTTGGTCTCCTGGTCATGCTGAGGTAACCTTGAGCAAGGCACCAGAGCCCCACACTGGGCACTGTAATATAGCAGTCAACTGCTTCTTGTTTAAGGATGGGTTAAAGGCAGAGACTAGAATTCACTGTGTGCGGTGCTGTGTTCAGGTAAGGAAGATTGGAAGTTGATTGTATTAAAATCCTCCATTACCATAACACACAATAGGACCCTTTTCAGATAATATTTCCTTCAAATGTTTTCCCTCACTTATGACTTTACTCTCATAACAGGACTACTTTAAGAATTAAAGATGTTATTTTCATAATTTAGCCCAAATACTCCATTGTAGGTTTTGATTTCATTTTGAATGTGTGACAGTAAGATATTCAGTAACCTCTTTGAGAGCAGGATCGAGCGGGGTCAGGTAAACATGAAGAACGGTGCAGGATGCGTAGGCTTTTGAATAAATCAACACGTTACAGCGTATCTTTGGTGGAATGCACAAATTAACCATTTTCATCAGGACGGCTCTTAGAGAGAAAACTGGTTCACACAGCTTGACATGGGACGATGTGACTTCAGACACTGTTTCCACAACATCTCCACAGTCATCTATGTGCAGGACTGCAAACTTTTGCAATATTTCAGGGATGTCATCTGCATAGTATGAAGCACAATAAATGAATGTGAATAAAACAATTGCATTGATTATTTTGTTATTTTCCTCCATGATAACTTACCTATGCAGATCCAGTGTGGCAGGTACACTTCAAATAACTTCCCAGAAATCACTGTGATGTCTATCAGGGGACCTGCAGGCATGTATCTCATCATTTCCATCCTCTTCATGGGTTCCTCCGAAGAGCAAAACTGGTACTTAAAGCTGACCTTGTCCTGACAGACCCAGCGCAAGCCTGAGACACTGCATTCAAAGTTTCCCGCTTCAGACTTTAGGCTAAAATATAATGAAAAAAATAAAGAGTTTGTATTTGGTACAAAATGTAGCATTAATACTATTGGGGAAATATTTGTAGCAGATCTTAGTGTTCTCTCTGTGAAGAAATCCCAAGACCGAAGCTTCAGTGTTTATTATATTTCCAGTTTGATAATATGCAGTATTTAGGAAACTATTAGTACCTGTAAGTTGATGCCTCATCTTCATCTGTACTGTTCACCTCAGGTTCAAGTTTAGTCCAGCCACTGGAGTCCTTCTGCAGAGGCAATCATTTTTACAAATAAGTGAAGATGTGTCATTTGGAAAAATCACATAAATGATCAACAAATAACTGAATACATAAATAAAATGTAAAGAACTACCGTCATTTTTCCGATACCCTCAAGATCTAAGCTTCTTGAAGCCCCTTGTGAAGAAACAAGACTTAGTATAAAATGATGTTACTATGAAAAATTAAATCTATGCCCTTTAGAACTATGTGCTACATAGCGCTGATGTAGCAATAGAGCACATTTGTTATGCAGGAAATACTGGTGAGTGATGTCTTTTTGGAAGCTTGAAATAATCCAATAAAAATACACTTGACTTTTCACACCTTTGGATCCTAAAGTGATGTTTGACAACTTTTGCTCCAGACCATAATCTTCTTTCATCTTCTCTAAAATCTCCATTGTCACCTCCATAGACTGTTGGCCGTAGATCTCCACCATCAGATCCACAATCTCAACTCTCCCCGCCGTCTCTAATCTCTGACTTGAGATTCTTTGGAGGCCACGCTTGAATTTCTCGAGCTCTCCGTGACTTAAATCTTCCAGTGTTTCCAGAAGCTTCTCCTCCAGTGATGTCACGGTTACTTCCTAATGGATTCAAATGTCATCAGAGGGAATTAAATGTAATATCTCCACTAGTTGAAAACATTTTCCACCTCTTTACTGTCAACATTTGCAAACTGTAAAACCTAAATGAGAGCCGTGTTGTGTAAAGTGTGTCTGATGTGATATGACTCACTTCCTTCGGTGGATCGGACGGATGTTTATCTAAGGAGAAAACCAAGGAAAAGCCTCATCATGACTGATTCAAAATCAGATTATCAACGACTTCTTAAAGGAAAGGTTGTTTTTTTTTACTCCTCTAGTCACAAAGAATCGAAGGTTTTTAATAATCGGGAGCCGTGTTCAACAACAGGAAAACGATATAAGCTATATAACTGCATGTATATAACACTTTCATTTACAAACTCCCACATAACTCGTGCAGTATAATCAAAGTCTCATTCATTCAGGCACTAGCTCACTACTTCTGATGTGTGGAGAAGAGTAACGCATTTCAAAGTATGAGACTGTTAATGCAAAAGTGTTTCAAACAGTGAGGTTGTTTTGGGATAGTTGTGCTGTTATTAAACACGCCCCCGATTTACTTAAATTCATAGAAATGTCTACATTGTTTGATTTGTTACTCACAGTGGAGTAATTAATTAAAGTTAATTATTCCTTAAAATTAAAAAAATAAAATACAAAAGCATTGCAACAAATACAAAACTCATGACTATTAACTCTTCTGTGTGATGGAGCAGTTTTTGTTTTCTTTCTCTTACCTTTGAGTCTTAAGATAGTCTCTGATAATCTCTCCGCTAGATCAGTTCTGTCCATGTCCATTAAAACCTCCCTGGTCACCTCCACAGACTGCGGACCACAGGTCTCCACCATATGATCCACCAGCTGGAGTGTACGTTCTGCCCAATTGGGATATCCATAAGAGAGGTAGGATATGCTCTTCTGGAAGTACGTGAACGGCAGCAACCACTGAAATCTGTAGCGCTCAGGAACACTCAAATCCTTAAGAGTTTCCAAAAGGATCGGTTTCTCTGCTGCAATTTGTGCCTGAAAAATGTAACGGATGTGTAAGAAAAGGTGCTATTTCTTCTAAGATCTCTCAAGTCAAAGACACACTAACATCTGTTTTATTAAATATGTTTAGCTTTTTTCTTGACTAATGCACATTTGTATATGAGTGTTCAGACTTCAGTCTGCTAATCTGATCATAACATCAGTGGAAGAAAAATCATTTTGACGGAAGAGATCAACCTTAAAAATGGTTTGGTTTGCATCATCATCTTTATGTTCAAGATGGATATGGTTAACAACTTGCATCTATTGAATGCAAGCTGTGATGTGTAAAGTCAGACTCACTCCCTCGGACTGTGCAGGTCGATGTTCATCCACAGAGTACATCTCTGAAGAGAGAAAATAAAGTGAATGTCTAACACACAAGATCCCAGCAACAAAACTAAACTACTTCAACTTAAAACATTCTGTTTCTTGTTGAGACTATGTGTCGGTGGCCTTTTATGGTATTTTAATTATTTCTTTAATGTTTGTATGGATTCCTGTCCCATGTTTTTTTATACTTCATACTTCATTTTTTTCATACTGAAATATAAAATGTATGCAAGGTTTTTTCTTCTTCTTTGTCTTACCTTTGAGTTCTGAGCTGGGCTTTCTCAACCTCTGCCTCAGATCAGTCCTGTTAATGTCTTTCAAAACCTCCATGGTTATCTCTACACACTGTTGGCCGAAGATCTGAATGATCTCTTCCACTATTTGTGCTCTGCTTGTTGAGGAACTCAAAATCAAAAAAAAATATCTCGGCTTCTTCTTGGAGACAATTAAATCCAGGGTCTGCTTGAATTTCTCTAGATCCTCGTTTCTCAAATCATACAGAGTTTCCAAAAGCAGATGTTTAACAGCTGCCATTGTTGCTACCTGAAATAATCAATACATTCATTAGACATGTATATTTGCATCTCATCACAGTTAATGTTTCCCTTTAACTAAAATCTTCCTGCTTTCTTACAGTGCAGACGCTTTTCTGCTTGCTCTTGCCTCTGCTTACTTTTTATGCTGATTTTCCTATTTTTCTTTTCTGAAAACTTCGAGCAGCGGCTCCTGGACATTAACTGATCACTGGGACAGTTATTCTTCGTAAATAGATGGAGTGTTTCAGCCATATTTCAATATTTTTACGACGACCTCAGTCTTATAGTAGCGTGGCCTAGCAACAGATAAAGTCTGGTACTGCAGTGAAACAACAGTCAGAAGTGCTGAAAGAAGACTTTAAATGTCTGTTGGAAACTGTCAGCTCTCTAAATGCGGAGGTGTTCATCAGTGGCCCTCTACCGCCAGTCAGAAGAGGAGTGGAGAGATTCAGCAGATTGTTTGCACTGAACACATGGCTTTCAACTGCCTGTACTGACCATTCTGTCCATTTTAACTTTTCTGGGACCGCAGACATCTTTTTAAGGCAGATGGAGTTTGCCTGAACAAGACAGGAGTGAAATTGTTTATCTCTAACATATTCAACTGCCTGCGTCATCAATCTGTTCCCTCTGCCAAGGACAAGCAACAAGAGAAATCAAAACAAGAGAAAGACACAACACATCTCGCAGAAAACCTTGAAAAAGTATCGCTGCGCCAGCCTGAGGAATGTCTTGATTATGGGAAACCTATGACACAAATGAAGGCGTCTCCACCGCCCTTCACCCCCCCTATCACCTTTGAGGATACTCTTCCTTCACCCCCCAGCTATCTCTACTCTCCGTTTACCCTTTCACCCTCGCCCACCCTCCTTGAGTTTGACCACATGAAGGAGATACAGAGAGTTGGCACCAAGTCCTTCCTGGAGATCAATTAGCGCATGAAGGCGATACGCAGGGTTGGCAGCATGTCCTTTACCCCCGCCCCTCAACGACGCCCACCACAATCACCGAAGCAGAGACGCGCACCATCTCCCCCATCTTCATCACATCATCTTCAAGACAGCATCTGCGGTCTCCGAAGCCTGATAAGGATGTGTGTGTACAAAACGCAACAAACTCTAACTGATATGTGCTGGGTCCAGGCTCAAGGGCGTATGGCACTCTCAACTCTTTCCAGGACAAGCCGGGGCCCTGCCTGTCAGTAGCTTTGCTGATATCTGTGTTGATAGGTAATAGATTAAGAGCGGTGAATCTTAGAAACAGGAAGCGCTCAAACGTTTGTGTGAGTTTATCGAATTTAGCAGTGATTCCATGTCAGCCACAGCTTGTCACAAAAAATCTGACTGATAGTGTATCGAACTAACTTAAACTAGCTTTTATTACAGATACACGCTTTACAACATCAGGAAGATACGTCCCCAGCTGACACAGAAAGCGACGCAGGTTCTGGTCCAGGCTCTCGTTATCTCACGCCTAGACTACTGCAACTCCCTCCTGGCTGGTCTACCTGCATGTGCCATCCGACCTCTGCAGCTCACCCAGAATGCAGCGGCTCGTCTGGTCTTCAACCTTCCTAAATTTTCCCACACCACTCCGCTCCTCCGCTCCCTTCACTGGCTTCCGGTAACTGCTAGAATCCACTTCAAGACACTGGTACTTGCTCACCATGCTGCCAATGGATCTGGCCCTTCGTACATCCAGGACATGGTTAAACCGTACACCCCAGCGCGTGCACTACGCTCTGCATCAGCCAAACGACTCGCTATACCCTCGCTGTGAGGGGGACCCAAGTTCCCATCAGCAAAAACACGTGGGTTTGCTATCCTGGCTCCAAGATGGTGGAATGAGCTCCCCATTGACATCAGGACAGCTGATAGCTTGCACATCTTCCGGCGCAAACTGAAAACTCATCTCTTTCGACTCCACTTCGAGCGATAGATTTATTAACAAAGCACTTATATACTAATAAAGGACTGGCTTATCTAAAGCCAGTTGAGTAGCACTTGAAATGTTTGGCTCTATGAAACCTGATGTACTTATATGATTCTGTTTTCTTCAAGGTTGTGTCTTCCTGGTCGAATGTACTTATTGTAAGTCGCTTTGGATAAAAGCGTCAGCTAAATGCAATGTAATGTAATAATGTAATTAAATGTCAGGTCTTTGGCAGGAAAAACGTTTTTAATCAATGATTTTATCACTGAGCACAATCTCGATTTTATGTTTTTAACGGAAACTTGGATTGATCAAAATAACAGTGCAGCTGTTCTTTTCGAATCAACAACTCCGAACTTCAGTTTTATGAGTCAGGAAATAATGCATAACAAAAGGGGGTGGAGTTGCTATTCTGTTCAATGATTCCCTTCAATGCAGGAAGACATCTTATGGGAGCCTTGCTTCTTTTGAATATGTGGCCCTTCAGCTGAAATGCTCCTCTCGAGCTCTGTTCCTAAATATCTATAGACCACCCAAATACTGTGCAAGCTTTTTTGATGACTTTACTGAACTGCTGTCTATAGTGTGTATTGACTTTGACCGTCTAGTCATTGTTGGTGATTTTAACATCCATGTTGACAACCCCCAGGACAGAGGGGCTAAATAACTGTTTTGTGTTCTTGATAACTATGGACTGACTCAGCATGTGACGGAGCCCACGCACAATAAGTGGCACACTCTGGACTTAATTATCTCAAAGGGTCTGAATATCTCAAAGGTTGTGGTGACTGATGTTGCACTCTCTGATCATTCCTGTGTTTTTTTTTGAGAGCTCTATTTCTGTTCACAAAAATGTTCAAAAAAACTCAAATTGATTATTGTCTATTATCAATTCAGGTTAAGAAACTAGTGTTGCTTGCATCCCATTTTAAAAAAGGCATTTATTTGTATACTTTACTAAAATGCAACAAATTCTATTAATTTTGTCTTTTTTATTGCACTTTGGCAGCAGATTCCATAGCTTCAGATCTGAGTTGTCTTATTAGTAAGCCTAATTTATACTTTTGTAGCAATACTATTTTTAAATAATGGCAAAGAAAGGGTTCAGTGTCTTTTCTTTTTTCCTGTGTCATATGTGGCAGCACTGTTCAATGTTTCTTGAAAACATTACACACTGTAGTATGTGACGTGTGAATAAACTCCAACTCTGTATCAACAACACTGTTGTCCTACCTGTCTAACAGGAAAAACTTTGTCACCATCAGTGACTGCAGCTCCCCTCCCGCCCCAGTCAACCAAGGTGTACCTCAAGGCTCTGTGCTTGGACCCCTCCTATTCAATATCTAAAAGCTCCCACTTGGTCAAATCATCCGCCAACATGGTCTCAGCTTTCACTCTTATGCTGATGACACACAGCTCTATCTCTGCACCAAACCGTCCACTCAGCTCCCCCCTCAATCCCTTGTCAACTGCCTACAGGACATAAAAAACTGGATGTCATCAAACCTGCTCAAAATCAACAGCAATAAAACAGAGCTTATGATTGTGGCTCCCAAGACGCAGCTCCAGAAGGTTGGAGACCTGCTTCTCTCCATTGACAGCTGATCCATCTCCCCGTCCACTGAAGTCCGCAATCTGGGAGTCATCCTGGACACCACCCTCTCTTTCCAGGCGCACGTCAAATCTGTCACCAAATCCGCCTTCTACCACCTAAAAAACATTGCCAGAATCCGGCCTTCACTCTCTGACTCTGTGGCAGAAACCCTTGTACACGCCTTCATTACATCCCGTCTAGACTATTGCAATGGAGTCCTGTCCGGGGTTCCCAGCAAAACTCTGGATAGGCACCAATACGTCCAGAACTCTGCCGCCAGGCTTCTCACCCACACCAAGCCATGGCACCATATCACCCCCACCCTCATCCACCTACACTGGCTGCCGGTCAAGTCCCGGATTCAATACAAAACACTCATCCTCACGTACAAGTCCCTCCATTCCCTCGCCCCCCAGTACTTATAATAATAATAATATATTTTATTTCTATAGCGCTTTTCTTGAACCCAAAGACGCTACACTTATCGGACCTCCTCCATCCCTACACCCCTTCTCGGAGTCTGCGGTCCTCAGACACGAGCCTGCTCTCCATCCCCCGCTCTCGCCTCCGAACTGTTGGTGACAGGGCATTCAGTGTTGCGGCCCCCACCCTCTGGAATGCACTTCCTGCCGAGATCCGTAATGCTGCCTCCCTGGACATCTTCAAATCATCACTAAGAACACACCTGTTCACCCTGGCCTTCGGGCCCTAGCCCTTTTCTGGTCCCCCGGCTTCCTTTATTTATTTATTTGGTTTGCCCATTGATTGTCTGTTTGTCCACCATATACAGCGACCTTGGGTCCCTTGAAAGGCGCTATATAAATATCATTTATTATTATTATTATTATTTGTTGTGTAACTTCAGTTAAATACTTGTATGTGTGTAGATTAGAATCAAGTATTCATCTTTATTGTCTTCATTGTTAGTTTCCACATGCCTAAAACAACCTCAAGTTAAATCTAAAAGTTGATGGCTAAATAAGAGTGTTTGAGAAATTGTGCAAGGCATACAGTAATAGTCCGAATAGTTGATTAATCGTTTCATTAATCGATAGATTCATCGATTATCAAATTAGTCGTTTGTTGCAGCCCTATTGTAGTTATCCCATGTATAAATAAAACGTGTTATTCAGCAACCCTTGCCATTTGGGATTTTATTTTTGGTTGGGAGACCTCGGTGAGCTGGTCATTTCAAAAGTAGCTCACCAGCCAAAAAAGTGTGGGCACCCCTGATCTAGATGCTTCAGTAATTAACAATTACAGGCCCATATCAAACCTCCCATTTCTAGGTAAAATCATTGAAAAAGTAGTTTTTCAACAGTTGAGTAATTTCTGGCATTTGAATAACTGTTTCGATGTGTCACAGTCAGGCTTTCGTCCAAACCACAGCACTGAGACTGCTCTTGTAAAGGTCTTCAATGACACCCACTTAAACACAGACAGTGGCAGAACTTCAGTGTTAGTATTATTAGATCTCAGTGCTGCGTTTGACACTGTTGACCACAGCATATTACTAGACTGACTGGAAAACTGGGTGGGACTTTCGGCAACAGTTCTAAAATTGGTTTGAATCCTACTTAAAGGACAGAAAAAACTTTGTTTCTATAGGTAAATACACATCTGAGTTGACAAATATGACATGTGGGGTTCCTCAAGGCTCCATCTTGGGGCCTCTTCTCTTTAACGTCTACATGCTACCACTGGCTCAGATAATGAAAAACTACAACATAAGTTACCATAGCTATGCGGATGACACACAAATGTACGTAACAATTTCACCAGGAGACTATGCTCCAATTCAAACACTGAATAAGTGCATTGAACAAATCAATGACTGGATGCGTCAGAACTTTCTCCAATTAAACAAAGATAAAACTGAGGTAATGGTTTTTGGAGCCAAGGCAGAACATATAAAAGTTAGCGCTGAGCTTCAGTCTGCAATGTTCAAAACAACAGATAAAGCCATAAATCTAGGTGTAGTCATGGACTCTGACCTGAGTTTCAACAGTCACATTAAAACAGTTACTAAATCAGCCTACTATCACCTAAAGAATATATCTAGGATTAAAAGACTAATGTCACAGCAGGATTTGGAAAAACTTGTCCATGCTTTTATCTTCAGTAGACTGGACTACTGTAATGGTGTCTTCACAGGTCTCACTAAAACATCTATTAGAAAGCTGCAGCTAATTCAGAACGCTGCTGCTCGAGTCTTCACTAACACTAAGAAAGTGGATCACATCACTCCTGTTCTGAAGTCTTTACACTGGCTTCCTGTGTGTCAAAGAATAGATTTCAAAATACTGCTGCTGGTTTATAAAGCTTTGAATGGTTTAGGCCCGAAATACATTTCTGACCTCCTGCTAAATTATGAACCATCCAGATCTCTCAGGTCTTCAGGGACTGGTCAGCTTTCTGTCCTCAGAGTCAGAACTAAACATGGAGAAGCAGCGTTCAGTTATTATGCTCCAAATATCTGGAACAAACTCCCAGAAACCTGCAGGTCCACTGCAACTCTGACTACTTTTAAATCCAGGCTGAAGACTTTTCTTTTTGCCGCTGCTTTTAATTGAAATATTCATATCTTAAACTGCACTGTAACTTTTATTATCTTTGCATTTTATCTTTGCTTTTAAATTAGTGTTTTTAAATGTCATTTTATATCATTGCTTTTAAATTAGTGTTTCTAGATATCATTTTAGAATAGTTTCTTAATGCTCTTAATGTCTTTCATTTTTGTAAAGCACTTTGAATTGCCTTGTGTTGAAAGGTGCTATAAATAAACTTGCCTTGCCTTATAAACTGGTTAGTTGTTGTGTTTGACAAACAAACAGACAGACAGAGAGACAGATCATCATAGATAAGTCAATCATGTGTTTGGGTCATATATAGAAAGTCAGACGTCAGATGACATTACTTACTTTCTGGATCCCTGCAGGTCGCTGTGCCTCTGAGTGTTTCTCTGAAGAGAAAAGAGGTGGAGATAAACAAACTCAATTAATTTTACCCTCTCCCAAAATATTAATCATTGTTCTGATTAGTCATAAAACATACTTTGTACACTAGGATATAAATACATTATAAATATACGTTTCATCTATATTTATAACTTAAAAAGAAGATTACAGAGCTTATTAACTTAGGATAAACAGGTTTGATGATTTAAAGATGTTTGTTTTATTTGTCTTACTTTTGGGTCCTGAGCTGCTTTGTGACAGCCTCTGCACCAGATCAGTCCTGTTCATCTTCTCAAAAGCCTCAGTGGTCATCTCCAGCAGTCTGTGCTGGCTGTGATCTTGCACCCAATAAAACACCATGTCCTGCCTGTCTCTCATCATTAGCCACCTTGATGAGATGTCTGGGTAGTCTTTGTCAGGGAGAATTTGACTCAGGACCATCTTAAAACTCTGTAAATCCTGGTCACTCAAATCTTTCAGTGTTTCCAGAAGCAGCTCTATGACAGACGCCATCGTTTCCACCTGGTAAAATCAAAGGAGATGTTAATCAAAACTGCTCCACCTGTTAAAAATCTGCTCAAAGATTGTTGGTCAACCCTATCAGAGACTCTATGACTCAGCCTATCATAACAACCTAGTGAGGCTGTCCAACAACATAACCTCTGACCCAAACCATGTTCTGAACAGTGAATATGAACTTCTACCATCTAATCGGAGATACAGGGTCCCACGATTCAATAAAGTCAGACTGAAGCACTCCTTTGTGCATCAGTCAATCCTCACAGTAAATACAGAGCTAAATCCCAGGTCAAATGCACGCTGAGCATGTTTTATCTCACTGATTGTGCCGTATTTGTCTGTTGATGTTGGACATGGAGCTGCTGTGACGCAAGTCAAATTTCAGACTTGATCTGACAAATAAAGTAATATCATATCGTATTGGGGCAAAAGAGAAATTTCTCAGCTGGGATGATTACAGATTATTTTTTGTTTATAACTCGTCAGTTTCAGTGTTTTACAAGAGGGTATGTGGTAAGAGAACATCAGCCATGTCCCCACAACGTATCAGTACACTTTATATTGTTCATCCAATTCATCACAAAACCATTTTCTTTTTGTATAAAGGCGTGTTTGATTAATTACTTTATTTGACCCCCTAGGTAACTCTTTCAAAGGCTGTGGTAGAATAATTACGTCAGGCGTCTTGATTTAGCAACTGAGTGGCAGTTTAACCAGTTGCATCTTTTTATTTTGTTATTGAAGAGTAAGAATCACTATCTTTATTTTTACCTCAGTATTGTTAATTTCTCTTTCTGAATGTTAGAAAAACAACTCATGAAGAATGTGCTATAATTTCCCCTCCAGACAGACGTAACACAAATTATTAATACTATTCATAAATAACATTGATGCCTAGAACCTACAGTATGTGTTCCTAACTTGGCGTGATCAGATTATTTCTGTAAGAAAACTATCCGAGACCAAAAAAGGTTTGTATCATGAATAATGTTCAGGGTGGAGATTATTTTCAATCTTCTAAATCTACTGAGTCAAAGCTGCACTGGGTGGAGTCAGAGTGATGGGACATTACTCACTCTCTGGATCAGTGAAGGAAGCCATTTCTCTGAAGAGAAGAAAAAAAGAAAAAGAGCACACGACGGATTCAAAATCAGACTATGGACAACTTTAGTCAGATTGAGTTACTTTTGAAAAAAAAAACGTAATATGAATAATTCAACTAAATAACACTCAAATATGGTTCATGCTGGCATCATTCAAATCAATCACAAAGAGTGAGAGGTTTGACATTATATTATTAACACCCATTAAAGGAACACTGCACCCACAAAATGACCTTTTAATAGAAATGACTCCTCCCTTGTTACCTTTAATTCTTCAAGAAACAAAACAGACAAAAGTATTGATTAATAGGGAGCTGTGTTTAACAAGAGAACAACTTTATTAACTTTATAACTAAAACTATATAAAACATCTATTTACAAACTCCCACACAACTCGTGCAGTAGAATCCAAGTCTCATTTATCCTGGCACGAGTTCACTACTTCCTTAAAACGTGCATTTTCACTAAACCTTCCTGTTTTAAGCATTTCAAGGCACAGACGGGTACTCCACGTGCAAGTATGAGACTGTTGATGCAGAAGTGTTTTAGAGGTTAGGTTGTTTTGATCAAGTTGAACTGTTATTAAACACGCCCCCATTTACTTCCATTCATAAAGACTTTCTCCATTGTTTTATTTGTGACTCACAGAGGAGGCATGCAATAAAACAGATGTCTTCAACAATTATGGAGAACTCAGGGTGAGTAAATGTAAAACAAAACAACTGGTCATTTTGTAGGTGAACTATTCCTTAAAATCCAAAAAACTCAAATACAAAAGCATTGCAAACATTACAAAAACTCATGACTATTAACTCTTCTGTGTGATGTAGCAGTTTTTGTTTTCTTTCTCTTACCTTTGAGTCTTAAGATAGTCTCTGACAATCTCTCTGCTAGATCAGTTCTGTTCAGGTCCATTAAAACCTCCCTGGTCACCTCCACAGACTGCGGACCACAGGTCTCCACCATCTGATCCACTAGCTGGGATGCACTTTCTGTCCAATTGGGATATCCCTGAAAGGAGGATATGCTCTTCTGGAAGTACGTGAAGGGCAGATACCACTTAAATCTGTAGCGCTCATCGCCACTCAAATCCTTAAGAGTTTTAAGGATCTCTTTCATTGCTGCAATTGGTGCCTGAAAAATGTAACGGATGTGTAAGAAAAGGTGCTATTTCTCTATGGAAATGAATATTACTTTGTATTCATTTCGTCAGTCAGTGTTTCAGACAAGAGGATTTTATAAAATGTTTACAAGATCTCTCAAGTCAAAGACACACTAACATCTGTTCTATTAAATATGTTTATCTGTTTTCTTGACTAATGCACATTTGTATATGAGTGTTCAGACTTCAGTCTGCTAATCTGATCATAACATCAGTGGAAGAAAAATCATTTTGACGGAAAAGATCAACCTTAAAAATGGTTTGGTTTGCATCATCATCTTTATGTTCAAGATGGATATGGTTCACAACTTGCATCTATTGAATGCAAGCTGTGATGTGTAAAGTCAGACTCACTCCCTCGGACTGTGCAGGTCGATGTTCATCCACAGAGTACATCTCTGAAGAGAGAAAATACATTTAAATGACTCAGAGGATTGAAAACTCATTTAACATAAGAGAATATAATCAACTTTAATTACGCTTACTTACTTTAAACGGAAACAAATGAAAATAAAATGAATGTACATCAATAATTAACACTGTCACAATCTAAAGCATTTTAACACAATATTTCTTGTTGAGACAATGTGCCTGTTGGTCATATCATTATTTATTTAATGTTTGCATTGATTCCTGTTCCAAGTTTGTTTTATATTTAACATTGATGATGTCGCTGAGAAAATATATGATGTATGTGACGTAATGTTTATGACACACTTGTTTATGTTAATTGTTTTCTTCTTTGTCTTACCTTTGAGTTCTAAGTTTGTAAACCTCTGCCTCAGATCAGTCCTGTTAATGTCCTTCAAAACCTCCATGGTTATCTCTACACACTGTTGGCCGAAGATCTCTATTATCTTTTCCACTGTTTGAGCTCTGCCTGGTGAGGAACCCCAAATCACTGGAAAATATCTTGGCTTCTTCTTGGAGATAATTAAATCCAGGGTCTGCTTGAATTTCTCTAAATCCTCGTTTCTCAAATCATTCAGAGTTTCCAAAAGCAGATGTTTAACAGCTGCCATTGTTGCTACCTGAAATAATCAATACATTCATCATTAGACGTGTGTATATTCCAGTGGCGAACCGTCAGGGCCTTCAAGGTATTCAGAGAATACCCTGGAACACTCAGATAAAACAAACAAAATATCGATTTAATTATATAAATAAAATGTAATAAAATGAATAAACGAGAATCGTATCTGTGTTGTTGATCTGTAATATTAAAGTGTTACGTTGATTTGTTTGTCCTTCTCGGACCATGCACTACGCATTTCAGTGGTTTTCTGTTAGAAAAGAAAGCAACCAATCAGATCTCGTTCTGGGTCTCTGGGTAGAATATCCTTCAACAAGGTATTCTACATCCTTGATCGAATGTCCTGCTGGCCGTTGCACTGAATGAGAGCGTACGTTTGGACTGACAGTTTGGTCAACCAATCATATATTGATTTGTAGCCAATGGGCGTGTTCTTTCAGAGTTCCCCTCGATTCCAGGGTATTCTAGAAGGCCCGCTGGTTAACTGGCTCGAGACAGAGGATCTAGATAAATGCGACGAAGCAATTCATGCCGTTTTATTGTTTTTAACGTTGAAATGACAAGTGCAACAGGTGAAGATGAAGTTGTTGCGGAATTGTTGTGAGTATCCTTTTCAAGACGACAATTCAGTGAAAAGACGGACATTATAATGCGGCGGAGGGGGGGGGGGGGGCAGCGACAGCGACAGCGGCAGCGGCGGGTGTGTGTGTCTACAAAAGGTCCAGTTGTGATAGACACGGTTCGCCACTGGTATATTCCTCTTGGACAATTACAAATGTGTCTATTTGCATCTCATCACTGTTAACGTTTTCCAGAGACAGACAGACAGACAGACAGACAGACAGACAGACAGACAGACAGACAGACAGACAGACAGACAGACAGACAGACAGACAGACAGACAGACAGACAGACAGACAGACAGACAGACAGACAGACAGACAGACAGACAGATCATCATAGATAAGTCAATCATGTGTTTGGGTCATATCATTACCTGTTGAAGGAAAGGTGTGCTGTAGAAAGTCAGACAGATGTGACATTACTTACTTTCTGGATCACTGCAGGTCGCTGTGCCTCTGAAGAGAAAAGAGGTGGAGATAAACCAACTCAATTCATTTTACCCTCTCCCAAAATATTAATCATTGTTCTGATTAGTCATAAAACATACTTTGTACACTAGGATATAAATACATTAGAATATACGTTTCATCTATATTTATAATTTAAAAAGAAGATTACAGAGTTTATTAACTTAGGATAAACAGGGTTGATGATTTAAAGATGTTTGTTTTATTTGTCTTACTTTTGGGTCCTGAGCTGCTTTGTGACAGCCTCTGCACCAGATCAGTCCTGTTCATCTTCTCAAAAGCCTCAGTGGTCATCTCCAGCAGTCTGTGCTGGCTGTGATCTTGCACCAAATAAAACACCATGTCCTGCCTGTCTATCATCCTGTGCCACCTTGGTGAGATGTCTGGGTAGCCTTTGCCAGAGATAATTTCAATCAGGACCCTCTTAAAACTCTTTAAATCCTGGTCACTCAAACCTTTCAGTGTTTCCAGAAGCAGCTCTATGACAGACGCCATCGTTTCCACCTGGTAAAATCAAAGGAGACGTTAATGGAGCAAAATAGCAGTTTCTCAGCTGGAATGATTACAGATTATTTTGTGTTTACATCTCGTCAGTTTCAGTGTTTTACAAGAGTGGATGTGGTAAGAGAACATCAGCCATGTCACTCACAATGTATAAGTGCAATTATTATTGTTTATCTAATTCATCACAAAACCATTTTCTTTTTGTATAAACGGTGTGTTTGATCCATGACTTTATTTGACCTCCTGGGTAACTCTTTCAAAGTCTGTGGTAGAATAATTACGTCAGGCGTCTTGATTTAGCAACTGAGTGGCAGTTTAACCAGTTGCATCTTTTTATTTTGTTATTAAAGAGTAAGAATCACTATCTTTATTTTTGAATCAGTATTGTGAATTTCTCTTTCTGAATGTTAGAAAAACAACTCATGAAGAATGTGCTATAATTTCCCCTCCAGACAGACGTAACACAAATTATTAACACTACTCATAAATAACATTGATGTCTAGAACCTACAGTATGTGTTCCTAAATTGGCGTGATCAGATTATTTCTGTAAGAAAAGTATCCGAGACCAGAAAAGGTTTGTATCATGAATAATGTTCAGGGTGGAGATTATTTTCAGTCTTCTAAATCTACTGAGTCAAAGCTGCACTGGGTGGAGTCAGAGTGATGGGACATTACTCACTCTCTGGATCAGTGAAGGAAGCCATTTCTCTGAAGAGAAGAAAAAAAGAAAAAGAGCACACGACTGATTCAAAATCAGACTATGGACAACTTTAGTCAGATTGAGTTACTTTTGAAAAAAATAACGTAATATGAATAATTCAACTAAATAACACTCAAATATGGTTCATGCTGGCATCATTCAAATCAATCACAAAGAGTGAGAGGTTTGACATTATATTAGTAACACCCATTAAAGGAACACTGCACCCACAAAATGACCTTTTAATAGAAATGACTCCTGCCTTGTTACCTTTAATTCTTCAAGAAACAAAACAGACAAAAGTATTGATTAATAGGGAGCTGTGTTTAACAACAGAACAACTTTATTAACTTTATAACTAAAACTATATAAAACATCTATTTACAAACTCTCACAACTCGTGCAGTAGAATCCAAGTCTCATTTATCCTGGCACGAGCTAACTACTTCCTTAAGACATGCATTTTCACTAAACCTTCCTGTTTTAAGCATTTCAAGGCACAGACGGGTACTCCACGTGCAAGTATGAGACTGTTGATGCAGAAGTGTTTTAGAGGTTAGGTTGTTTTGATCAAGTTGAACTGTTATTAAACACGCCCCCATTTACTTCCATTCATAAAGACTTTCTCCATTGTTTTATTTGTGACTCACAGAGGAGGCAAGCAATAAAACAGATGTCTTCAACAATTAAAGAGAACTCAGGGTGAAGTAAATGTAAAACAGAACAACTGGTCATTTTGTTGGTGAACTTTTCCTTAAAATCAAAAACACTCCAATACAAAAGCATTGCAAACATTACAAAAACTCATGACTATTACTCTAAAATATATGTATTAATCAGAATCAGAATACCTTTATTATTCCCATAGAGGATTACACATCCATGACACACAGATGAGTGTGTACTGTAGCAGTTTTAGTTTTCTTTCTCTTACCTTTGAGTCTTAAGATAGTCTCTGATAATCTCTCCACTAGATCAGTTCTGTCCAGATCCATTAAAACCTCCCTGGTCACCTCCACAGACTGCGGACCACAGGTCTCAATCATCTGATCCACTAGCTGGAGAGCACTTTCTGTCCAATTGGGATATCCATAACAGAAGTATATGCTCTTCTGGAAGTACGTGAAGGGCAGCAACCACTGAAATCTGTCGAGCTCATGGTCACTCAAATCCTTAAGAGTTTTCAAAAGGATCGGTTTTACTGCTGCAATTTGTACCTGAACAAATAAACAGATGTGTACGGTAAGCAAAGGTGTTATCTCTATGGAAATAAATATGACTTTGTTTTCATTTTATCAAAGTCAGTGTTTCAGACAAGAGGGTTTTCTACAATTTTGAGAAGATCTCTCAAGTTCATTTGATCATAACATCAGTGAAACAAAAATCATTTTGACGGAAGAGATCAACCTTAAAAATGGTTTGGTTTCATCATTTTTATGTTCAAGATGGATATGGTTAACAACTTGCATCTATTGAATGCAAGCTGTGATGTGTAAAGTCAGACTCACTCCCTCGGACTGTGCAGGTCGATGTTCATCCACAGAGTACATCTCTGAAGAGAGAAAATAAAGTGAATGTCTAACACACAAGATCCCAGCAACTAAACTAAACTAAACTACTTCAACTTAAAACATTCTGGTTCTTGTTGAGACTCTGGTCTGTTGGTATTTTAATATTTCTTTAATTTTTGCATTGATTCCTGTGCCAAGTTTTTTTTATATTTCACATTGATGATGACACCGAGGTTAGACAATTACTTTTTCATTATGATTTATAAAATGTTTTTTTTCTTCTTTGTCTTACCTTTGAGTTCTGAGCTGGGCTTTGTCAACCTCTGCCTCAGATCATTCCTGTTAATGTTCTTCAAAACCTCCATGGTTATCTCTACACACTGTTGGCCGAAGATCTGTATTATCTGTTTCACTGTTTGAGCTCTGCTTGGTGAGGATCTACATGAAACATATCCCGGCTTCTTCTTGGAGACAATTAAATCCAGGGTCTGCTTGAATTTCTCTAAATCCTTGTTTCTCAAATCATTCAGAGTTTCCAAAAGCAGATGTTTAACAGCTGCCATTGTTGCTACCTGAAATAATCAATACATTCATTAGACGTGTATATTCCTCTTGGACGATTACAAATGTGTCTATTTGCATCTCATCACTGTTAATGTTTTCCCTTTAACTCTATGAACTGGTTAGTTGTTGTTGGGTTTGACAGACAGACAGACAGACAGACAGACAGACAGACAGACAGACAGACAGACAGACAGACAGACAGACAGACAGACAGACAGACAGACAGACAGACAGACAGACAGACAGACAGACAGATCATCATAGATAAGTCAATCATGTGTTTGGGTCATATCATTACCTGTTGAAGGAAAGGTGTGTTGTAGAAAGTCAGACAGATGTGACATTACTTACTTTCTGGATCACTGCAGGTCGCTGTGCCTCTGAAGAGAAAAGAGGTGGAGATAAACCAACTCAATACATTTTACCCTCTCCCAAAATATTAATCATTGTTCTGATTAGTCATAAAACATACTTTGTACACTAGGATATAAATACATTATAAATATACGTTTCATCTATATTTATAATTTAAAAAGAAGAATACAGAGCTTATTAACTTAGGATGAACAGGCTTGATGATTTAAAGATCTTTGTGTTTTATTTGTGTTACTTTTGGGTCCTGAGCTGCTTTGTGACAGCCTCTGCACCAGATCAGTCCTGTTCATCTTCTCAAAAGCCTCAGTGGTCATCTCCAGCAGTCTGTGCTGGCTGTGATCTTGCACCAAATAAAACACCATGTTCTGCCTGTCTCTCATCATGTGCCACCTTGATGAGATGTCTGGGTAGCCTCTGTCAGAGAGAATTTGATTCAGGACCCTCTTAAAACTCTCTAAATCCTGGTCACTCAAATCTTTCAGTGTTTCCAGAAGCAGCTCTATGACAGACGCCATCGTTTCCACCTGGTAAAATCAAAGGAGACGTTAATGGGGCAAAAGAGCAATTTCTCAGCTGGAATGATTACAGATTATTTTGATTTCATCTCATCAGTTTCAGTGTTTTACAAGAGTGGATGTGGTAAGAGAACATCAGTCATGACACGCACAACGTATCAGTACACTTTATATTGTTCATCCAATTCATCACAGAACCATTTTATCTTTGTATAAATTGGGTGTTTGATTAATTACTTTATTTTAATTCCTGGGTAACTCTTTCAAAGGCTGTGGTAGAAAAACTGCGATAAGCCTCTTGATTTTACAACAGAGTCCATTTTTAACCAGTTTCTCTTTTTTTTGTATTTGAACAAATACTATATAGATAAGATTAATGGCTAAGAATGTTTGTGTAACTAATTTGGCATGATCAGATTATCTATCTGGGACAAAAAAATGAAGTTCAGGATGAAGATTCTACTGAGTCAAGGCTGCACTGTGTGAAATTGATGGGACATTACTCACGCTCTGGATCAGAGAAGGAAGCGGTTCCTCTGAGGATAATAAAAAAAGGAAAAAGGCCCATTTCATTTATTTCATCCCAATGTGACACACTAACCTCCTCAACAGTGACAGTATAATTATTTATATATCCACTTAAAGATATTCTAACACTGTTCAATGGCTTAAGATACATTTGGTATCGGAATATACATAAACAATATTTTTATGAAATAGAAATGTATATTTTCACATATTTCTGTCTTGTTTCTCTTACCTTTGGTTCCTGAGCTGATGTCTGACAATCTCTGCACCAGATCAGTCCTGTTCATCTTCTTTAAAACCGTTTTGATCATATTCACACACTTTCCGCTGAACGTCTTCACCATCAGATCCACTGTTTCATCTGTGTTTGCCGCTTTGAGTCGACCCCTTAGGATCAGTGGGAAACTTTCCTCTAATTCAATGAGTGACTTGAATTGGTTAAGCTCATCTGAACTCAAATCATTCAATGATTCAAGAAGTCTCTTCTGAGCCATCATGCTTTCTACCTGTAAAGTTTAAAGGAGATATCTTAGAGTGTATGCAGGATAGGATGTAGGTTATGTGTGTGATTCACATCCAAGATCAGAGACTGAGTCTCTTCTTATTTCTATCACCAAGATTAACTTTTAGATTGTATTCAAAACTCGATTTACTGCATTGCGGTTGTATGCCTTCACAAAAAGTGGCAGTTTACATCCATGGCGATCCAAAATGTCATATCTTTATCATTAATCATTTTAATCCCATGGCATTTTTCCACCAAATTCAAAATCTGTTTATTTTTGTACTCAAGTGGATTTTTGTCCCAAATCTAAATAAATAGTTGTTGGGTTAAGGAATACCCATTCTTCCACACAGGGCCCAATGGGTCAGTGGATGATTTTAAATGTTGTCAATCATTTTAAATCATGTTTGAAAATAATATCAGGTTACAGAATATTGTTTCTCAGTGAAGGATTTCCTCATCGATTTCAGAAACATTTGCCAGATCAAGGTGAGTTAAGATAACTAATGTTGTTTTAAATATTTGGCTTAGAGTCATTAATATTTTTACTCTCTATTGCATACACCAATTGCATCTCAAAAGCAGTGATTATATGAGCGGCACACCATATGATATCCAAACTTTCATTAGAATCCTTTTCAAAACTAAATATGTACTCACCTCCATGTCTTTCTTATTCTTCTTATATTTCTCAGAGTCATCACAAAGGTCATCGAGGAGATGTGACTCATGTTCTCTCAGCAGTTTGTAGAATATCTCTTTTCCTCCAGGTCCACAGACTCTCAAAGGCCCACTTAGGAGAGCCCTCATCTTCTCCCGAGGGCCATGGAGGGATAGGATTTCCTCATAATGTTCTCTTTTGATAACTTTATATGAGAGCAGTCCATCCAGAATTGGTTCAATGTTTTTTACTCTCTGGACTAGTGCTATATGATGTTTATCCACAAATAGCACTGAGGAAAGAAAAGGCAAAGTGGTTAGCTTGGAGATAATATGCATCACGATATATTTAATAAAAAGTGGTAAAACCTCAAATTCATCTAATATTACAAAACCGGAAAATGTACTTTTACTCTGAATGAATTACTTCTAAGAAACTAAGGAGCACATCTCTGGTAAAAACACGTTTAATGTGGTGATTCTGTATGTTTAAAAAATTAAGTTATAAAGATCCGTGGTCCGGTAAAAACAACCCAATAACCAAACTAACTGATTAGTGGACAATATGCTATTGAAGTATTGAGTAAGTCGAGTGAAGAATTTCCTACATGATAAAACAGAAGGAAATACGTTTTCCAGTCAGATTCTGCTTTTAAACTCAGCTTGTTGTAGCCAACCTTAACTCAAACTAAAATACTGTGTAGGCCTACATGCTGTAATACCTGTGGACCTACCTTCCTCCATCATGTTTAGATCAGGTGCTGCCGAGGATTAAGGAGCTGTTAAAAAAAGGTATTGTTGTTAGACTTTACACATACCTCTGTTGTCTCTTATACATTCACGAAAGAGAAACAAAATGCGGTCTTTCTTTAACGGTCCCCACACTAAGAAATGAATAATTAAAACTAGCTTAGGCTACACCACACATTGTGAGGCTCAGTTTAATGACAACTCCAAATGTTTAGCCAAAGAAAAAAAAGTATTATGAAGACATGTGTGAATCAGAAACAGACAATAAAGCCATGATAAAAAAAAAAAAAAAAGCTACAAGTAAAGTGAAAGGCTCTTTAAGAACTTCTCATGCACAGCGTTGAGCCATCATGAAAGGAACATCAGTTTGTGGTAGCTTAACGAAAAATGTTGAGCTAATTCAGTCCAAATCTAAAGATGCTCAATTTCCAATGATATAAAACTATTTCGGAAATAATTTGAGAAGCTAACACAACAGATTGTTTGCCATTTTGTTATTTAAAAATGGCTCGAGCAAGTACTAATTCTCCAATAAATTAAAAACTGCTTTGTTAATCCATGTATTTATAGGTTAAAAGCTTTACAGCCCAAGAAAAGGTAATTGCCACGCAGCACAAACTCCACAATACTAAAAGTAGCTTTTTTGTAATTTTCTAACACATGAAACCTGCCATAACAGTTTCAGACGTATTTTGTAAAACTATACGTCAGGAAACGGAACCCTAAAAAACCAGAAGCGATATGTCAGTGAGACAGTTATTAAGTGAATGTGTAGTGACTGAATAATATAACCAAAATGTCCATTTTACATGTCATTAGCTCAAAGAAAACGCAGAAAGGTTAAAGTGAAAGCAAAAAGATCCATTAATGTTCAATAACTGCGGGACACCAGTTGATCTGTCTCGTGAACGTTACACTTGTTCGTGCTGCACGTAGAGATAAAACTCACCGGATGTTTCTCTCTTTCTCCCTCAGTCTGCTTCTCAATATCTTTCAGTATCTTTAAACTTTATGAAAAGTTTAAATCCCGCCACATTTCTACCTCTCGTTCAGTTTCCTGAAGCCGAAGTTAAACGTGTGTGTCCTTTTCTCTGAAGTGACGTGGTTCTCTTTACTGCTCAAACCACCGCCCTTTTTCCTGAACATTGTTGAACTAGCCTATCTTTTAACAATAACAATGATATTAAATTATGAGGGATGAAAAAACATTCTGCCTTACATTCTTAAAGATATTGATACTGTAGGAATCAGTACTAGTTGTTAGAGTACTCCCACAAGTGCTATGATGAATCATTACTGTGTACCTTGTGAGTACTCCACTGTCAAAATTAAAACAATAGAAAACAATTATACAGACTCACAATATGTATCATACTCAACATGAAGTTTAAAACAGGCAGAGTTGTCTTTCATGCCGAAGCCGTGAACTCCTATATTAAAGAAGAGCTATTGTGGACTGAATATAACCAGCACATAATATGCACTTTCTATACAGCACTTTTAAAAACAAAGTTACATGTGCTTTACATAGACAAAGCTTAATAAAAAGCCCAACCATAATATTAATAAAACAAATGACAAAAACAATAGAGCAGAAAGGACATATTGGAAATAAAATGGTTTATAAAACAAAATAAAAAGCTGTTTTAAACAGATACATTCTTACCAGTATTTTAAAGAATGTCACTGACTCTGCCAGACTCAGTCGTCACACAAACATTACATAGCTGCATTCTTGCTTATATAACATCTGGGGGTGCAGTGGTTAGGATGGAGGGGTTCGACTGGAGTGTAATCCAGCATCACTTCAGAGGGGAACAACACACTTAAAAATGAATCATTAAAAAGCATTTCATGACCTACATCCCACACGTGAATTTACAACTGAATTAGAAAATCTAACATAATACAAACACATAATATTTCCAAATGTGTAGTATTGACCTCCAACAGGCATTCTCTCAGACAACTCCCAGCTACAAAAGGCTTTGTATAACTTTGTTTACTCATGCTGCAGCTACTTGACAAGACTCCTAAACAGACTGGATATCTAAACATTGCTGCAGTTCCCCTTTAAATGTATAAACTGTACTTTCATCACCAAGTAAAGTCCTGCCTCCCTTCATCCAAACATACAAGTAGGTAAGGCTAAACAATTAGTTCATACAAATTGCGGTTGGTTAATAGATCAATGTTTGTGGATAACGGCAAAATAATACTACCTTCTTCCACAGTACCCCTCTGAACAACCAGTTTAATAAATAATAAGAATAATATGTAAACATTAAAACAAATCTAGGAGGAAAGCGAAGTTCCTAAATCAGTTAACTTCATTACATCATTATGTCTGCTTCAACTTTTAAAACACTATTCACTCGACATGTGTAATATTTATAAGAGTTTATTGAAAATGTATTTCGAAATAGAAAACATTGGCCTCCATAAGTAAAAATATTTTCATGAGGGAAAACACAACGAGAGAATCCTTTAGCACATAAGACAATAATCAAAATTAAAATCTGCATGCAAAGCCTAAGGATAATCATTCAGGATCAAGCATCCTTTCATTTATAAAAAATAGGTTAAAAGCTGACTCAATCCATCTGGGATTTGTTGGATTAAAACATTACATGAAGGTGAGAACGCTAAATCATTTCTTACATCATTACATCACATGAATGACTTACGTGGTTTGCTGAATCTGGTTTTAAACTTACAGGAAAACGTATTCATTTTACAAAATATGACTGGTCCAAGTGTAAAAAAAGGGCAAGAGCTATGATTAAACATGAAGGTGCAAAAGCTATTTGATAGAACCCCCCACAGAGACATTTACATTACTATTTCCCCATTGTAATCGTTTAAGACGCTTTTTTTTCTTGAGGCACAATGCACGTTTAGTCTAAAAAATGATTTATCCGTAACATTCACTTATTTCCCTTTAGGTCATCAATGAGACATTTCTCCTCTTTCTCAAGGATTCTGTAGAAGACGTCTTTGCCATGAGGCCCTGCTGATTTCAGGGGACCACTGAAGAGTTCCCTCATCTGTTTCTTAGTGGTTGGGATTACCAGGATTTCACTATAACTCGATTGTGTGATGACTTTTTCATCAAGGAGCTGGTCCAAAATGTCTGCAATGCAGTTCACTCTGTTGATCAGCTCGGTCCTATGTTTATCCACAAAGTGCTCACCTGAGGAAGGAGGGAATAATGAGTAAAGTGTTGATGATACCATGAAGCCAACTTGATACATTTCTAAACAAATAATTTAATATTCTATAACAGTGACTTCTTTATTTTAAATACAGTGGAGGAAATAAGTATTTGATCCCTTGCAGATTTTGTAAGTGTGTCCACTAACAAAAAAATTAACAGTCTATAATTTTAATGGTAGGTTTATTTTAACAGTGTAAGCAGAGATGGGGTTGTTACTAAAAAAAAAGTAATATATTACATAGGCCTATTACATATGACTTTAAAAAAAGTCATATATTACACTACTTCGTTACTCTCTACATAAAGTAACTCGTTACTTTACTCACAGGGCCGGCCCGCCCCTCCCTACAGGCAGATCACGCAGACTGCGGCGCACCTACAGTGCGAACAGCTGTAGGTCCAACACATTAAGTTGACGAAACACTCGAGTCAAATGTAATTAAAGTCAGATCGTGTCTTAGACGGGGCAGTGATATCATAAACCTGTTAATGTACGCATTCAAACACTTTTTCTGTTAGCAGCTGTATTCACCTTGCAGGTGCAGCTATGTGGCTTTTATCCTGGATAAAGTGTTTAAGTCATGGATGTTTAAAGTTTAACTTCTTCATCTGTCTAATATTATAGTTGACTTTTCATTCAGGAAGTATGACGCTGCGCTGTCAGTACGCTTCTCCATGTTTGTGATTGGTCGAATGCTCCAAATAGCAAATACCACCCCTTTCATGTGAACGCGCACCTAACTAGATAGGACACGGCTGGCTTGAGCGATCCACTCAGTCTATGGATCCACTTGATAACCCGGGTCGTATTACCGTTTAGCGAGAGCGCGTATGTTTTGGATTAGGCCAACCGGCTAACTCAAACATATCCAGGTTAGGTTGAACCAGCTTCGTAGTATAGGCCCCAGAGGGGCATACCTCCACCCCTCGAAAGTTATCGCTGACTCAGCCATGATTATGCAGCACTGCACGTGGAGATGTGGACGCGCATGTCGCGCAACGCGTTACACCCAACTCTGATTGTAAGTAAGAATATCAAAAAGAAAATCCAGAAATTGACATTATACAAAAGATAACAATTTATTTGCATTTAACTGTAGGAAATAAGTATTTGATCCCCTTGCAACAAACAAGGATTCTGGCTCCCACAGACCGGTTACAGAAGTCCTCTTCCTTTAAAAAAGTACTCCTAATATCAACTTGTTAACTGTATAAAAGACACCTGTCCACAGAATCAATCATTCAGATTCCAGCCTCTCCACCATGGGCAAGACTAAAGCGCTGTCTAAGGACCTCAGGGACAAGATTGTAGACCTGCTCAAGGCTGGGATTGGCTACAAGACACCCAGAAAGCAGCTTGGTGAGAAGGAGACCACTGTTAGTGCGATTATACGGAAATGGAAGAAACATTCAATGACCATCAATCACCCTCGGTCTGGGGCTCCACACAAGATCTGGCCTAGTGGGATCACAGTCACCAAGAAAACTATTGGTAACACACTGCACCATAATACATAAAATCCTGCAGCACCTGCAAGGTCCCCTGCTCAAGAAGGCACATGAAAGGCCCCTCTGAAGTTTGCCAATGGACATCTGAATGATTCAGAGAAGTGGTTGACCCACGGGGATCACAAACCAAAATCAAGTGTGCACCCACCGTCTGCCATGGTGTATTGAGCTGTCTCTAGAGCTGAGGGTCCAGCAGCTGAAACAAATTGAGGGAAAATAACAATTGCTTAATGATGGACAGGTTTACTTTTTTTTCATGCACACAGCAACATAGCAAAATACGGTAATTCAATGTGTCAATGATACATGCACTGTCATTGGTTGGCAGTTTAATAGAAGACCTAAAACAATAAGACTGATGTTATTCTATATTCAACTAAATGTAAAGATTAAAAGCAACAATGTGTTATTCCACGTCTCTCAATACTGTTCAGCTTCCTAAGTCTATGCTACAACACACCAGCTTGTGTCCAAGGTAATTCCTATCTCAAGTGAATGAATTGGGGCTGGGCCATATATGGATATCATAGTGAAATCATGATGTCAGACTGCACTTTGTATAACGTCATATCTCCTAAGTGTCTTTTCCTGGTTTAAGTGCCTGCATTACATATTTTGTGAAAGCACGAATAATCAACCCTACAATTTTGGTGGAATATATTTGACCAGAAATATTTGGAAATTTGATTATGTCCATATGTCCAGCCTTAAATGACTATGCACCATTATTCACACTACTTTTATGTAAATGTACATCAAAATTCAGTGTCAAGACAGTGTCGTTCTCAATGTGAAGGGTGCAGTTTGAGGAGAAATGTTAACCTGCAAATTCTGTAGACAATATTCCCATTTGCTAGTCTATTATTTTTCATCCATAACCCAGCTGCAGACCCTGCTATGTCTTTTGTGTGGGGCTTTTAAGTTTTTGTGGACTAAAGACTTTTTGCTCAGGTGGAAAATAAATGGTATCCTTTTCAAGTCTTCTATTTTATAATAGCAAGAAAACCTAATGTAGATAAACAACTCACTGTCCCTTGATTCATTTTCTGAGGACGGTCCACCCGTAGATTCCTCTGTAAAATAGACGGATATGGTTAGTCAGAAATATGATGGATGACAATTTGACATAAACTTTAGTGTAGGACACACTAACACTGCATGCTGTGATTGGCTGTTTTAAACTGGTTTAAAGGCAATGTATGATGATAATGTGTTGGGTTTTGTAATTCCTCTCTTGTGTTTATTGACATCTTGCTCTTCCAAAAGTGTTCTCAGGGTGTGTGCCGTTCAGCTGGCAGATGTGTTCACAGACATCTTCAACAGGTCCCTGCTGCAGTCTGTAGTCCCTGCATGTTTCAAATACTCTACCATCGTTCCTGTCCCCAAAAAGACTAAAACCACCAGCCTCAATGACTACCGCCCAGTAGCACTCACCTCCATCACCATGAAGTGCTTTGAGTGGTTAATCAAAACATTCATCACCTCCTCCCTCCCTGACTTTCTGGACCCCCTGCAGTTTGCCTACAGAGCAAACAGGTCTACAGACGCCATCGCCCTCACCATCCACACTGCCCTCTCACACCTCGACCAGAGGAACACATATGTTAGAATGCTGTTCATTGACAACAGTTCAGCTTTCAACACCATCGTGTCCTCCAAGCTGGTCATCAAGCTCAGAGACCCATGACTGTCATCGGCCTGATCACCGACGGCAATGAGACGGTGTACGGTGCACCATAGAAAGTATCCTGACCTTCTACAGGTGCACCATAGAGAGGATCCTGACCTTCTACAGGTGCACCATAGAGAGGATCCTGACCCACTGCATCATGGCCTGGTATGGCAGTTTCACCGTTTCCACCAGGACGGAGCAGCCATCCATGGAGGACCTCTATTCCCAGCGGCTCAGGAAGAAAGCCCACAGGATTATCAAAGACCCCCATCACCCCAGCAACAAACTGTTCTGTCTGCTGCCAAATGGCAGGCGGTACTGCATGCAACAGGACAAAAACCACCAGACTCAGAGACAGTTTCATCCCAGAGTCCATAAGACTATTCAACACCTAAGCTTGCAGAATTTACATTTTTGTTGTTGTTTTTCCATATATATATGTTTTTATGTGAAGTAATTGCACTGTTGAGGAACCTGCGATCTAAGTTTTTCATCCTTAACAACACCATAGTTGTGTTTAAGTGATGACAATACATCTTTGAATCTTGAATCAAAGGTTACTTAAAAACAGCTTTTCTGTAGCACTGCACAGTCAGACAACAGAAAATAACTTGCGATCCAATGGACCAGTAACGGAGGGTTGTCCACCTGTCTCTTTCACTGCAAAAATATCTTACCATCTGAATCACCAGAGTTTCGTAACTCAACTGAAATACAGAACATACAAAATATGGATTTTTCATATTTCTTTTTCATGTATTGTATTCTCATCAACACGTTAAAATAATGTTAATTTTTTATATGTTTGGACATACAATGGGATTGGGATCTCTTTAATTTAATATAATCCTTTTGCATAACACCTTAGTTAATTAAAGGTAAAAGACAGATTTAATTATTTATTTTTTCATATGGTGTACATTAAGTAATAATTCCTACTGACCTTTTCGAATCACACAGCTCCATACTGGTGGTAACTGTGGTTCCCCGTTGTTAAGTTGAGAGAGTGTAAGGTGGAAGTTACTGTCTGGATTCTCAAAGCCCACGTCAAAGAATATTGAGTGTTGCTTTTCTTGACTATCATTGGTGAGGGTTATTTTCTGTGTGAGAAGAAAAAAAAAAAAAATAACAGAGAGATGACAACATGAGATGTGAGGGTCAATATTGAATAAACTAAAGATTTAAGTTGTTAAAAAAAAGTGAATTAGTCACATGGCCAACAGAAATGATGCTGCTTATTTCAAATGGAGAAGTCCTTATTGTTGAACTTAAGTTTGATGGTATATGCATGCCTCTTTTTTACTAAGTTTACAATTTGATATGCCACTGGTAAATTACAAGCATATATTTTCCCACATTCGCTCCCCTAGATTAACAGATTTTGGCAACTGAACCATAGCTAATTCTTCTGTATGTATGGGATATCTTATTATGTCTTTATTAAACAAGGACCATGCATAACAATACATTAATTACAAAAAGGGAAGAGATGATGTATGGTATAATTTAGCTATTAGCTCATTTCCATCTGCAGTCCCTGGGTAGGTAAAAACCTAATAATAATAATAATACTTTTATTTTGGGGGGCGCCTTTCATAGCACCCCAAGGACACCTTACAGGGCATAGGGGCAATATAGGGAACAATTAAAACAGTGGATTTAGTGAGATATCAGCCGGGGTAAGACAAGACAAACAACAGTAAATGGACTACAGAATAATCAACAAAAGTGCAGATGTATGAAATAAAAATACCAGCATATTTTACGCTCAGCTCGAAACATATTCCAATGCCTGGTGGTTGTAAATTAAAAAGCTGATGGTGCAAAGGTAATCCACCTCAGTGGGATGTTTAAGACTAGTGGAGATCTTGAGGTTCTGACTATTTGTGAGTTCCCTTGATATTGATATATTAAACAGTAGCCATTTTGACGTCTCACTGCATGGTTGACACAGGTATTATTTACAAAATGAATAACTGTCCCATTTGAATTAGTGTCACATCCATTCTAGTCTAGTCAGCATTAGCAATACCAGGAACCTGGCCCATCTACATGAACCATAATAAAATAATATTCACAATGAACAGATCAGATTGCTGACTGGCAATGCAAACTGTACCTCTGGGGAAATCTTGTCTGTTGTTATGTCTGCTGTGAGGTTGAAATCTTGGTGCAGCGTCAGGCCCTCGTTTGGGCGTGGCTTTTCGATAAATCTGAAGTCTTTTTTTTTCTTGTCGATGGTCTGGGGAAAGAAATCAATCTAAGAACAACCCTGCTTCAAGTTTACAGTAAGAAACATCTGTGTTTAAAATGCATTCATGAAACAATAAGGTTTTAACAACAGAGTATTAGGGTCAGTATCTAGAAAAATAAATGTTTATTTTAGATTTTGTTATTTCAGAATAGCTACTGAGGAAAAGGTCATGATAAGAAAGTCATACCTTCGAAAAAAATTTCTTTAACGTTTTGAGAGTAACTAAATAAGTGAGATCAAACCATGCTGCAGCGTCATCGACAATTACCACCGAATAGGTCTGAGGCACGTCTGTGATTGTATTTCACATTTATAGCAACATGTGAAACAGTTAAATTGGCTTAAATGCTTTTCTGTTTGAAGCAGCTTTCCATGGAGCAGAACTTTCCCTCGAGTGATAATCTAAAAAACGAAATGATATCTCGCTTGATAAGTATTATCAGGGAACACGTTATAACACCATGATAAGTATAAGGTTATATGTCAACCATGTATCGATCATTGAGAGTCATGTTGCAAACATAGCTTCTAGCTTTGGGCAGAGCTAGCTCTGTTTGTAGGGACTTGGCTTGGCGACCAGAGGGTTGCAGGTTCAAGTCCCTGAACGGATCAAGTGAAGAGTGGGGACTGATACTTTGTGAGGTGGCAGTTGGTCTCCTGGTCATGCTGAGGTAACCTTGAGCAAGGCACCAGAGCCCCACACTGGGCACTGTAATATAGCAGTCAACTGCTTCTTGTTTAAGGATGGGTTAAAGGCAGAGACTAGAATTCACTGTGTGCGGTGCTGTGTTCCTGTTTGACAATTGGAAGTTGATTGTATTAAAATCCTCCATTTCCATAACACACAATAGGACCCTTTTCAGATAAGATTTCCTTCAAATGTTTTCCCTCACTTATGACTTTACTCTCATAACAGGACTACTTTAAGAATTAAAGATGTTATTTTCATAATTTAGCCCAAATACTCCATTGTAGGTTTTGATTCATTTTGAATGTGTGACAGTAAGATATTCAGTAACCTCTTTAAGAGCAGGATCGAGCGGGATCAGGTAAACATGAAGAACGGTGTCGGATTCGTAGGCTTTTGAATAAATCAACACGTTACAGCGTATTTTTACTGGAAAGCCCATTTTCATCAGGACCGCTCTTGGAGAGAAAACTGGTTCAGACAGCTTGACATGGGACGATGTGACTTCAGACACTGTTTCCACAACATCTCCACAGTCATCTATGTGCAGGACTGCAAACTTTTGCAATACTTTAGGGATGTCATCTGCATAGTATGAAGAATAAACAATTAATGTGAATAAAAAACAATTGCAATGATTATTTTGATATTTTCCTCCATGATCACTTACCTATGCAGATCCAGTGTGGCAGGTACACTTCAAATAACTTCCCAGAAATCACTGTGATGTCTATCAGGGGACCTGCAGGCATGTATCTCATCATTTCCATCCTCTTCATGGGTTCCTCCGAAGAGCAAAACTGGTACTTAAAGCTGACCTTGTCCTGACAGACCCAGCGCAAGCCAGAGACACTGCATTCAAAGTTTCCCGCTTCAGACTTTAGGCTAAAGTATCATGAAAAAAATAAAGAGTTTGCATTTGGTACAAAATGTAGCATTAATACTATTGGGGAAATATTTGTAGCAGATCTTAGTGTTCTCTCTGTGAAGAAATCCCAAGACCGAAGCTTCAGTGTTTACTATATTTCCAGTTTGATAATATGCAGTATTTAGGAAACTATTAGTACCTGTAAGTTGATGCCTCATCTTCATCTGTACTGTTCACCTCAGGTTCAAGTTTAGTCCAGCCACTGGAGTCCTTCTGCAGAGGCAATCATTTTTACAAATAAGTGAAGATGTGTCATTTGGAAAATCACATAAATGATCAACAAATAACTGAATACATAAATAAAATGTAAGGAATTACCGTCATTTTTCCGATACCCTCAAGATCCAAGCTTCTTGAAGCCCCTTGTGAAGAAACAAGACTTAGTATAAAATGATGTTACTATGAAAAATTAAATCTATGCCCTTTAGCACTATGTGCTACATAGCGCTGATGTAGCAATAGAGCAAATTTGTTATGCAGGAAATACTGGTGAGTGATGTCTTTTTGGAAGCTTGAAATAACACAATAAAAATACACTTGGCTTTTCACACCTTTGGATCCTAAAGTGATGTTTGACAACTTTTGCTCCAGACCATAATCGTCTTCTTTCATCTTCTCTAAAATCTCCATTGTCACCTCCATAGACTGTTGGCCGTAGATCTCCACCATCAGATCCACAATCTCAACTCTCCCCGCCGTCTCTAATCTCTGACTTGAGATTCTTTGGAGGCCACGCTTGAATTTCTCGAGCTCTCCGTGACTTAAATCTTCCAGTGTTTCCAGAAGCTTCTCCTCCAGTGATGTCACGGTTACTTCCTAATGGATTCAAATGTCATCAGAGGGAATTAAATGTAATATCTCCACTAGTTTGAAAACATTTTCCACCTCTTTACTGTCAACATTTGCAAACTGTAAAACCTAAATGAGAGCCGTGTTGTGTAAAGTGTGTCTGATGTGATATGACTCACTTCCTTCGGTGGTTTGGACGGATGTTTATCTAAGGAGAAAACCAAGGAAAAGCCTCATCATCACTGATTCAAAATCAGATTATCAACGACTTCTTAAAGGAAAGGGTTTTATTTTTACTCCTCTAGTCACAAAGAATCGAAGGTTTTTAATAATCGGGAGCCGTGTTCAACAACAGGAAAACGATATAAGCTATATAACTGCATGTATATAACACTTTCATTTACAAACTCCCACATAACTCGTGCAGTATAATCAAAGTCTCATTCATTCAGGCACTAGCTCACTACTTCTGATGTGTGGAGAAGAGTAACGCATTTCAAAGTATGAGACTGTTAATGCAAAAGTGTTTCAAACAGTGAGGTTGTTTTGGGATAGCTCTTCATGTTGTTTTGGGATAGCTCTTCATTCATATTACACGTCACTTCTCTACCCTCTCCTCCCTCATTAAGTGATCGGGGGCGTCACTCCCCAGCTAACCAATCACTCCTCTCTCCATTCTCACAAGCCTATCGTTGCACCCGCTAATCCCTTTATATCTGCTCTTCCCTCTTGTCAGCTGTCATTCCAGGTGACAATACGCAACCCTCCTCCACCCCTCTCGCCTCCCGTCTCCTACAGGACCAAGCTAATCCTTCTCCCTTCAGACCGGTCCCACCTACTTATCACCACCACCAGTGTCTAGACCCCGGGGGGTTTCTTCGGAGCGGTTCTTCCCCTCCTGAATGATAATCCTGCAAACCGGGGCCTAATCGCCAAACACCATTCCATTCTCCTGTCTTAATTACACACGGCATCTATTGCACGTCTGTCCGTCCTGGGAGAGGGATCCCTCTTCTGTTGCTCTCCCTGAGGTTTCTCCCATTTTCCCCTTTAAACTGTGGGTTTTCTTCGGAAGTTTTCCTTGTACGATGTGAGGGTCTAAGGACAGAGGGTGTCGTATTGTCATGCTGATATTTTTGTACAGATTGTGAAGTCCACTTGGACAGGTGTAACATTTGTGATGTTGGGCTATATAGATAAACATTGATTGATTGATTGATTGATTGATTGATTAATTCTGGCAATCATTATTTCATTCATATGACGTGTCCCAGACATAAATATGTATTTCATACATCAATGTCTCTCCTGATTGAAGTGCTGTTATTAAACACACACCCCCCATTTACTTACATTCATAGAAATGTCTACATTGTTTGATTTGTTACTCACAGTGGAGTAATTAATTAAAGTTAATTATTCCTTAAAATTAAAAAATTAAAATACAAAAGCATTGCAACAAATACAAAACTCATGACTATGAACTCTTCTGTGTGATGGAGCAGTTTTTGTTTTCTTTCTCTTACCTTTGAGTCTTAAGATAGTCTCTGATAATCTCTCTGCTAGATCAGTTCTGTCCAGATCCATTAAAACCTCCCTGGTCACCTCCACAGACTGCAGACCACAAGGCTCCACCATCTGATCCACCAGCTGGAGAGCACTTTCTGTCCAATTGGGATATCCATGACAGAAGTAGGATATGCTCTTCTGGAAGGACGTGAACGGCAGATACCACTGAAATCTGTAGCGCTCATGAACACTCAAATCCTTAAGAGTTTCCAAAAGGATCGGTTTCTCTGCTGCAATTTGTGCCTGAAAAATGTAACGGATGTGTAAGAAAAGGTGCTATTTCTCTATGGAAATGAATATTACTTTGTATTCATTTTGTCAGTCAGTGTTTCAGACAAGAGGATTTTATAAAATGTTTACAAGATCTCTCAAGTCAAAGACACACTAACATCTGTTCTATTAAATATGTTTATCTGTTTTCTTGACTAATGCACATTTGTATATGAGTGTTCAGACTTCAGTCTGCTAATCTGATCATAACATCAGTGGAAGAAAAATCATTTTGACGGAAGAGATCAACCTTAAAAATGGTTTGGTTTGCATCATCATCTTTATGTTCAAGATGGATATGGTTCACAACTTGCATCTATTGAATGCAAGCTGTGATGTGTAAAGTCAGACTCACTCCCTCGGACTGTGCAGGTCGATGTTCATCCACAGAGTACATCTCTGAAGAGAGAAAATACATTTAAATGACTCAGAGGATTGAAAACTCATTTAACATAAGAGAATATAATCAACTTTAATTACGCTTACTTACTTTAAATGGAAACAAATGAAAATAAAATGAATGTACATCAATAATTAACACTGTCACAATCTAAAGCATTTTAACACAATATTTGTTGTTGAGACAATGTGCCTGTTGGTCATATCATTATTTATTTAATGTTTGCATTGATTCCTGTTCCAAGTTTGTTTTATATTTAACATTGATGATGTCGCTGAGAAAATGTATGATGTATGTGACGTAATGTTTATGACACACTTGTTTATGTTAATTGTTTTCTTCTTTGTCTTACCTTTGAGTTCTAAGTTTGTAAACCTCTGCCTCAGATCAGTCCTGTTAATGTCCTTCAAAACCTCCATGGTTATCTCTACACACTGTTGGCCGAAGAACTCCATCATCTGTTCCACTGTTTGAGCTCTGCCTGCTGAGGAACTCCAAATCAATGGAAAATATCTCGGCTTCTTCTTGGAGACAATTAAATCCAGGGTCTGCTTGAATTTCTCTAAATCCTCGTTTCTCAAATCATTCAGAGTTTCCAAAAGCAGATGTTTAACAGCTGCCATTGTTGCTACCTGAAATAATCAATACATTCATCATTAGACGTGTGTATATTCCAGTGGCGAACCGTCAGGGCCTTCAAGGTATTCAGAGAATACCCTGGAACACTCAGATAAAACAAACAAAATATCGATTTAATTATATAAATAAAATGTAATAAAATGAATAAATGAGAATCGTATCTGTGTTGTTGATCTGTAATATTAAAGTGTTACGTTGATTTGTTTGTCCTTCTCGGTCCATGCACTACGCATTTCAGTGGTTTTCTGTTAGAAAAGAAAGCAACCAATCAGATCTTGTTCTGGGTCTCTGGGTAGAATATCCTTCAACAAGGTATTCTACATCCTTGATCGAATGTCCTGGCCGTTGCACTGAATGAGAGCGTACGTTTGGACTGACAGTTTGATCAACCAATCATATATTGATTTGTAGCCAATGGGTGTGTTCTTTCAGAGTTCCCCTCGGTTCCAGGGTATTCTAGAAGGCCTGCTAGTTAACTGGCTCGAGACAGAGGATCTAGATGAATGCGACGAAGCAATTCATGCCGTTTTATTGTTTTTAACTTTGAAATGACAAGTGCAACAGGTGAAGATGAAGTTGTTGCGGAATTGTTGAGTACCCTTTTCAAGACGACAATTCAGTGAAAAGACGGACATTATAATCCCGCGGAGGGGGGCCGCGGCAGCGGCAGTGGCGGGTGTGTGTGTCTACAGAAGGTCCAGTTTTGATAGACACGGTTCGCCACTGGTATATTCCTCTTGGACAATTACAAATGTGTCTATTTGCATCTCATCACTGTTAACGTTTTCCAGAGACAGACAGACAGACAGACAGACAGACAGACAGACAGACAGACAGACAGACAGACAGACAGACAGACAGACAGACAGACAGACAGACAGACAGACAGATCATCATAGATAAGTCAATCATGTGTTTGGGTCATATCATTACCTGTTGAAGGAAAGGTGTGCTGTAGAAAGTCAGACAGATGTGACATTACTTACTTTCTGGATCACTGCAGGTCGCTGTGCCTCTGAGTGTTTCTCTGAAGAGAAAAGAGGTGGAGATAAACCAACTCAATTCATTTTACCCTCTCCCAAAATATTAATCATTGTTCTGATTAGTCATAAAACATACTTTGTACACTAGGATATAAATACATTATAAATATACGTTTCATCTATATTTATAATTTAAAAAGAAGAATACAGAGCTTATTAACTTAGGATAAACAGGGTTGATGATTTAAAGATGTTTGTTTTATTTGTCTTACTTTTGGGTCCTGAGCTGCTTTGTGACAGCCTCTGCACCAGATCAGTCCTGTTCATCTTCTCAAAAGCCTCAGTGGTCATCTCCAGCAGTCTGTGCTGGCTGTGATCTTGCACCAAATAAAACACCATGTCCTGCCTGTCTATCATCCTGTGCCAACTTGGTGAGATGTCTGGGTAGCCTTTGCCAGAGAGAATTTCAATCAGGACCATCTTAAAACTCTTTAAATCCTGGTCACTCAAACCTTTCAGTGTTTCCAGAAGCAGCTCTATGACAGACGCCATCGTTTCCACCTGGTAAAATCAAAGGAGACGTTAATGGGGCAAAATAGCAGTTTCTCAGCTGGAATGATTACAGATTATTTTGGTTTCATCTCATCAGTTTCAGTGTTTTACAAGAGGGTATATGGTAAGAGAACATCAGTCATGTCACTCACAATGTATAAGTGCAATTATTATTGTTTATCTAATTCATCACAAAACCATTTTCTTTTTGTATAAACGGTGTGTTTGATCCATGACTTTATTTGACCTCCTAGGTAACTCTTTCAAAGGCTGTGGTAGAATAATTACTTCAGGCGTCTTGATTTAACAACTGAGTGGCAGTTTAACCAGTTGCATCTTTTTATTTTGGTATTAAAGAGTAAGAATCACTATCTTTATTTTTGAATCAGTATTGTGAATTTCTCTTTCTGAATGTTAGAAAAACAACTCATGAAGAATGTGCTATAATTTCCCCTCCAGACAGACGTAACACAAATTATTAACATTACTCATAAATAACATTGATGCCTAGAACCTACAGTATGTGTTCCTAACTTGGCGTGATCAGATTATTTCTGTAAGAAAACTATCCGAGACCAGAAAATGTTTGTATCATGAATAATGTTCAGGGTGGAGATTATTTTCAGTCTTCTAAATCTACTGAGTCAAAGCTGCACTGGGTGGAGTCAGAGTGATGGGACATTACTCACTCTCTGGATCAGTGAAGGAAGCGGTTCCTCTGAGGAGACAAAATGACAAACGACTGATTCAAAATCAGACTATGGACAACTTTAGTCAGATTGAGTTATTTTTGAAAAAAAAAACGTAATATGAATAATTCAACTAAATAACACTCAAATATGGTTCATGCTGGCATCATTCAAATCAATCACAAAGAGTGAGAGGTTTGACATTATATTAGTAACACCCATTAAAGGAACACTGCACCCACAAAATGACCTTTTAATAGAAATGACTCCTGCCTTGTTATCTTTAATTCTTCAAGAAACAAAACAGACAAAAGTATTGATTAATAGGGAGCTGTGTTTAACAACAGAACAACTTTATTAACTTTATAACTAAAACTATATAAAACATCTATTTACAAACTCTCACAACTCGTGCAGTAGAATCCAAGTCTCATTTATCCTGGCACGAGCTAACTACTTCCTTAAGACATGCATTTTCACTAAACCTTCCTGTTTTATACATTTCAAGGCACAGACGGGTACTCCACGTGCAAGTATGAGACTGTTGATGCAGAAGTGTTTTAGAGGTTAGGTTGTTTTGATCAAGTTGAACTGTTATTAAACACGCCCCCATTTACTTCCATTCATAAAGACTTTCTCCATTGTTTTATTTGTGACTCACAGAGGAGGCATGCAATAAAACAGATGTCTTCAACAATTAAAGAGAACTCAGGGTGAGTAAATGTAAAACAGAACAACTGGTCATTTTGTAGGTGAACTTTTCCTTAAAATCAAAAACACTCCAATACAAAAGCATTGCAAACATTACAAAAACTCATGACTATTACTCTAAAATATATGTATTAATCAGAATCAGAATACCTTTATTATTCCCATAGAGGATTACACATCCATGACACACAGATGAGTGTGTACTGTAGCAGTTTTAGTTTTCTTGCTCTTACCTTTGAGTCTTAAGATAGTCTCTGATAATCTCTCCACTAGATCAGTTCTGTCCAGATCCATTAAAACCTCCCTGGTCACCTCCACAGACTGCGGACCACAGGTCTCAATCATCTGATCCACTAGCTGGAGAGCACTTTCTGTCCAATTGGGATATCCATAACAGAAGTATATGCTCTTCTGGAAGTACGTGAACGGCAGCAACCACTGAAATCTGTCGAGCTCATGGTCACTCAAATCCTTAAGAGTTTTCAAAAGGATCGGTTTTACTGCTGCAATTTGTACCTGAACAAATAAACAGATGTGTACGGTAAGCAAAGGTGTTATCTCTATGGAAATAAATATGACTTTGTTTTCATTTTATCAAAGTCAGTGTTTCAGACAAGAGGGTTTTCTACAATTTTGAGAAGATCTCTCAAGTTCATTTGATCATAACATCAGTGAAACAAAAATCATTTTGACGGAAGAGATCAACCTTAAAAATGGTTTGGTTTAATCATTTTTACGTTCAAGATGGATATGGTTAACAACTTGCATCTATTGAATGCAAGCTGTGATGTGTAAAGTCAGACTCACTCCCTCGGACTGTGCAGGTCGATGTTCATCCACAGAGTACATCTCTGAAGAGAGAAAATAAAGTGAATGTCTAACACACAAGATCCCAGCAACTAAACTAAACTACTTCAACTTAAAACATTCTGTTTCTTGTTGAGACTCTGGTCTGTTGGTATTTTAATATTTCTTTAATGTTTGCATTGATTCCTGTGCCAAGTTTTTTTTATATTTCACATTGATGATGACACCAAGTTTAGACAATTACTTTTTCATTATGATTTATAAAATGTTTTTTTTCTTCTTTGTCTTACCTTTGAGTTCTGAGCTGGGCTTTGTCAACCTCTGCCTCAGATCATTCCTGTTAATGTTCTTCAAAACCTCCATGGTTATCTCTACACACTGTTGGCCGAAGATCTGTATTATCTGTTTCACTGTTTCAGCTCTGCCTGGTGAGGATCTACATGAAACATATCTCGGCTTCTTCTTGGAGACAATTAAATCCAGGGTCTGCTTGAATTTCTCTAGATCCTCGTTTCTCAAATCATTCAGAGTTTCCAAAAGCAGATGTTTAACAGCTGCCATTGTTGCTACCTGAAATAATCAATACATTCATTAGACGTGTATATTCCTCTTGGACGATTACAAATGTGTCTATTTGCATCTCATCACTGTTAATGTGTTCCCTTTAACTCTATTAACTGGTTAGTTGGTGTTGGGTTTGTTGACAGACAGACAGACAGACAGACAGACAGACAGACAGACAGACAGACAGACAGACAGACAGACAGACAGACAGACAGACAGACAGACAGACAGACAGACAGACAGACAGACAGACAGACAGATCATCATAGATAAGTCAATCATGTGTTTGGCTCATATCATTACCTGTTGAAGGAAAGGTGTGCTGTAGAAAGTCAGACAGATGTGACATTACTTACTTTCTGGATCACTGCAGGTCGCTGTGCCTCTGAGTGTTTCTCTGAAGAGAAAAGAGTTGGAGATAAACCAACTCAATTCATTTTACCCTCTCCCAAAATATTAATCATTGTTCTGATTAGTCATAAAACATACTTTGTACACTAGGATATAAATACATTATAAATTTACGTTTCATCTATATTTATAATTTAAAAAGAAGAATACAGAGCTTATTAACTTAGGATAAACAGGGTTGATGATTTAAAGATCTCTGTGTTTTATTTGTCTTACTTTTGGGTCCTGAGCTGCTTTGTGACAGCCTCTGCACCAGATCAGTCCTGTTCATCTTCTCAAAAGCCTCAGTGGTCATCTCCAGCAGTCTGTGCTGGCTGTGATCTTGCACCAAATAAAACACCATGTTCTGCCTGTCTCTCATCATTAGCCACCTTGGTGAGATGTCTGGGTAGCCTTTGCCAGAGAGAATTTTATTCAGGACCCTCTTAAAAATCTCTAAATCCTGGTCACTCAAATCTTTCAGTGTTTCCAGAAGCAGCTCTATGACAGACGCCATCGTTTCCACCTGGTAAAATCAAAGGAGACGTTAATGGGGCAAAAGAGCAATTTCTCAGCTGGAATGATTACAGATTATTTTGGTTTCATCTCATCAGTTTCAGTGTTTTACAAGAGTGGATGTGGTAAGAGAACATCAGTCATGACACGCACAACGTATCAGTACACTTTATATTGTTCATCCAATTCATCACAGAACCATTTTCTTTTTGTATAAACAGCGTGTTTGATTAATTACTTTATTTTAATTCCTGGGTAACTCTTTCAAAGGCTGTGGTAGAAAAACTGCGATAAGCCTCTTGATTTTACAACAGAGTCCATTTTTAACCAGTTTCTCTTTTTTTTGTATTTGAACAAATACTATATAGATAAGATTAATGGCTAAGAATGTTTGTGTAACTAATTTGGCATGATCAGATTATCTATCTGGGACAAAAAAATGAAGTTCAGGATGAAGATTCTACTGAGTCAAGGCTGCACTGTGTGAAATTGATGGGACTTTACTCACGCTCTGGATCAGAGAAGGAAGCGGTTCCTCTGAGGATAAAAAAAAAAGGAAAAAGGCCCATTTCATTTATTTCATCCCAATGTGACACACTAACCTCCTCAACAGTGACAGTATAATTATTTATATATCCACTTAAAGATATTCTAACACTGTTCAATGGCTTAAGATACATTTGGTATCTGAATATACATAAACGATATCCTTATGAAATAGAAATGTATATTTTCACATATTTCTGTCTTGTTTCTCTTACCTTTGGTTCCTGAGCTGATGTCTGACAATCTCTGCACCAGATCAGTCCTGTTCATCTTCTTTAAAACCGTTTTGGTCATATTCACACACTTTCCGCTGAACGTCTTCACCATCAGATCCACTGTTTCATCTGTGTTTGCCGCTTTGAGTCGACCCCTTAGGATCAGTGGGAAACTTTCCTCTAATTCAATGAGTGACTTGAATTGGTTAAGCTCATCTGAACTCAAATCATTCAATGATTCAAGAAGTATCTTCTGAGCCATCATGCTTTCTACCTGTAAAGTTTAAAGGAGATATCTTAGAGTGTATGCAGGATAGGATGTAGGTTAGGTTATGTGTGTGATTCACATCCAAGATCAGAGACTGAGTCTCTTCTTATTTCTATCACCAAGATTAACTTTTTAGATTGTATTCAAAACTCGATTTACTGCATTGCGGTTGTATGCCTTCACAAAAAGTGGCAGTTTACATCCATGGCGATCCAAAATGTAATATCTTTATCATTAATCATTTTAATCCCATGGCATTTTTCCACCAAATTCAAAATCTGTTTATTTTTGTACTCAAGTGGATGTTTGTCCCAAATCTAAATAAATAGTTGTTGGGTTAAGGAACACCCATTCTTCCACACAGGGCCCAATGGGTCAGTGGATGATTTTAAATGTTGTCAATCATTTTAAATCATGTTTGAAAATAATATGAGGTTACAGAATATTGTTTCTCAGTGAAGGATTTCCTCGTCGATTTCAGAAACATTTGCCAGATCAAGGTGAGTTAAGATAACTAATGTTGTTTTAAAGGTTTGGCTTGGAGTCATTAATATTTTACTCTCTATTGCATACACCAATTGCATCTCAAAAGCAGTGATTATATGAGCGGCACACCATATGATATCCAAACTTTCCTTAGAATCCTTTTCAAAACTAAATATGTACTCACCTCCATGTCTTTCTTATTCTTCTTATATTTCTCAGAGTCATCACAAAGGCCATCGAGGAGATGTGACTCATGTTCTCTCAGCAGTTTGTAGAATATCTCTTTTCCTCCAGGTCCACAGACTCTCAAAGGCCCACTTAGGAGAGCCCTCATCTTCTCCCGAGGGCCATGGAGGGATAGGATTTCCTCATAATGTTCTCTTTTGATAACTTTATATGAGAGCAGTCCATCCAGAATTGGTTCAATGTTTTTTACTCTCTGGACTAGTGCTATATGATGTTTATCCACAAATAGCACTGAGGAAAGAAAAGGCAAAGTGGTTAGCTTGGAGATAATATGCATCACGATATATTTAATAAAAAGTGGTAAAACCTCAAATTCATCTAATATTACAAAACCGGAAAATTTACTTTTACTCTGAATGAATTACTTCTAAGAAACTAAGGAGCACATCTCTGGTAAAAAACACGTTTAATGTGGTGATTCTGTATGTTTAAAAAATTAAGTTATAAAGATCCGTGGTCCGGTAAAAACAACCCAATAACCAAACTAACTGATTAGTGGACAATATGCTATTGACGTATTGAGTAAGTCGAGTGAAGAATTTCCTACATGATAAAACAGAAGGAAATACGTTTTCCAGTCAGATTCTGCTTTTAAACTCAGCTTGTTGTAGCCAACCTTAACTCAAACTAAAATACTGTGTACATGCTGTAATACCTGTGGACCTACCTTCCTCCATCATGTTTAGATCAGGTGCTGCCGAGGATTAAGGAGCTGTTAAAAAAAGGTATTGTTGTTAGACTTTACACATACCTCTGTTGTCTCTTATACATTTACGAAAGAGAAACAAAATGCGGTATTTCTTTAACGGTCCCCACACTAAGAAATGAATAATTAAAACTAGCTTAGGCTACACCACACATTGTGAGGCTCAGTTTAATGACAACTCCAAATGTTTAGCCAAAGAAAAAAAAGTATTATGAAGACATGTGTGAATCAGAAACAGACAATAAAGCCATGATAAAAAAAAAAAAAAAAGCTACAAGTAAAGTGAAAGGCTCTTTAAGAACTTCTCATGCACAGCGTTGAGCCATCATGAAAGGAACATCAGTTTGTGGTAGCTTAACGAAAAATGTTGAGCTAATTCAGTCCAAATCTAAAGATGCTCAATTTCCAATGATATAAAACTATTTCGGAAATAATTTGAGAAGCTAACAGATTGTTTGCCATTTTGTTATTTAAAAATGGCTCGAGCAAGTACTAATTCTCCAATAAGTTAAAAACTGCTTTGTTAATCCATGTATTTATAGGTTAAAAGCTTTACAGCCCAAGAAAAGGTAATTGCCACGCAGCACAAACTCCACAATACTAAAAGTAGCTTTTTTGTCATTTTCTAACACATGAAACCTGCCATAACAGTTTCAGACGTATTTTGTAAAACTATACGTCAGGAAACGGAATCCTACAAAACCAGAAGCGATATGTCAGTGAGACAGTTATTAAGTGAATGTGTAGTGACTGAATAATATAACCAAAATGTCCATTTTACATGTCATTAGCGCAAAGAAAACGCAGAAAGGTTAAAGTGAAAGCAAAAAGTTCCATTAATGTTCAATAACTGCAGGACACCAGTTGATCTGTCTCGTGAACGTTACACTTGTTCGTGCTGCACGTAGAGATAAAACTCACCGGATGTTTCTCTCTTTCTCCCTCAGTCTGCTTCTCAATATCTTTCAGTATCTTTAAACTTTATGAAAAGTTTAAATCCCGCCACATTTCTACCTCTCGTTCAGTTTCCTGAAGCCGAAGTTAAACGTGTGTGTCCTTTTCTCTGAAGTGACGTGGTTCTCTTTACTGCTCAAACCACCGCCCTTTTTCCTGAACATTGTTGAACTAGCCTATCTTTTAACAATAACAATGATATTAAATTATGAGGGATGAAAAAACATTCTGCCTTACATTCTTAAAGATATTGATACTGTAGGAATCAGTACTAGTTGTTAGAGTACTCCCACAAGTGCTATGATGAATCATTACTGTGTACCTTGTGAGTACTCCACTGTCAAAATTAAAACAATAGAAAACAATTATACAGACTCACAATATGTATCATACTCAACATGAAGTTTAAAACAGGCAGAGTTGTCTTTCATGCCGAAGCCGTGAACTCCTATATTAAAGAAGAGCTATTGTGGACTGAATATAACCAGCACATAATATGCACTTTCTATACAGCACTTTTAAAAACAAAGTTACATGTGCTTTACATAGACAAAGCTTAATAAAAAGCCCAACCATAATATTAATAAAACAAATGACAAAAACAATAGAGCAGAAAGGACATATTGGAAATAAAATGGTTTATAAAACAAAATAAAAAGCTGTTTTAAACAGATACATTCTTACCAGTATTTTAAAGAATGTCACTGACTCTGCCAGACTCAGTCGTCACACAGAACATTACATAGCTGCATTCTTGCTTATATAACATCTGGGGGTGCAGTGGTTAGGATGGAGGGGTTCGACTGGAGTGTAATCCAGCATCACTTCAGAGGGGAACAACACACTTAAAAATGAATCATTAAAAAGCATTTCATGACCTACATCCCACACGTGAATTTACAACTGAAATTAGAAAATCTAACATAATACAAACACATAATATTTCCAAATGTGTAGTATTGACCTCCAACAGGCATTCTCTCAGACAACTCCCAGCTACAAAAGGCTTTGTATAACTTTGTTTACTCATGCTGCAGCTACTTTACAAGACTCCTAAACAGACTGGATATCTAAACATTGCTGCAGTTCCCCTTTAAATGTATAAACTGTACTTTCATCACCAAGTAAAGTCCTGCCTCCCTTCATCCAAACATACAAGTAGGTAAGGCTAAACAATTAGTTCATACAAATTGCGGTTGGTTAATAAATCAATGTTTGTGGATAACGGCAAAATAATACTACCTTCTTCCACAGTACCCCTCTGAACAACCAGTTTAATAAATAATAAGAATAATATGTAAACATTAAAACAAATCTAGGAGGAAAGCGAAGTTCCTAAATCTGTTAACTTCATTACATTTTTATGTCTGCTTCAACTTTTAAAACACTATTCACTCGACATGTGTAATATTTATAAGAGTTTATTGAAAATGTATTTCGAAATAGAAAACATTGGCCTCCATAAGTAAAAATATTTTCATGAGGGAAAACACAACGAGAGAATCCTTTAGCACATAAGACAATAATCAAAATTAAAATCTGCATGCAAAGCCTAAGGATAATCATTCAGGATCAAGCATCCTTTCATTTATAAAAAATAGGTTAAAAGCTGACTCAATCCATCTGGGATTTGCTGGATTAAAACATTACATGCAGGTGATAACGCTAAATCATTTCTTACATCATTACATCACATGAATGACTTACGTGGTTTGCTGAATCTGGTTTTAAACTTACAGGAAAACGTATTCATTTTACAAAATATGACTGGTCCAAGTGTAAAAAAAGGGCAAGAGCTATGATTAAACATGAAGGTGCAAAAGCTATTTGATAGAACCCCCCACAGAGACATTTACATGACTATTTCCCCATTGTAATCGTTTAAGACGCTTTTTTTTCTTGAGGCACAATGTACGTTTAGTCTAAAAAATGATTTATCCGTAACATTCACTTATTTCCCTTTAGGTCATCAATGAGACATTTCTCCTCTTTCTCAAGGATTCTGTAGAAGACGTCTTTGCCATGAGGCCCTGCTGATTTCAGGGGACCACTGAAGAGTTCCCTCATCTGTTTCTTAGTGGTTGGGATTACCAGGATTTCACTATAACTCGATTGTGTGATGACTTTTTCATCAAGGAGCTGGTCCAAAATGTCTGCAACGCAGTTCACTCTGTTGATCAGCTCGGTCCTATGTTTATCCACAAAGTGCTCACCTGAGGAAGGAGGGAATAATGAGTAAAGTGTTGATGATACCATGAAGCCAACTTGATACATTTCTAAACAAATAATTTAATATTCTATAACAGTGACTTCTTTATTTTAAATACAGTGGAGGAAATAAGTATTTGATCCCTTGCAGATTTTGTAAGTGTGTCCACTAACAAAAAAATTAACAGTCTATAATTTTAATGGTAGGTTTATTTTAACAGTGTAAGCAGAGATGGGGTTGTTACTAAAAAAAAGTAATATATTACATAGGCCTATTACATATGACTTTAAAAAAAGTCATATATTACACTACTTCGTTACTCTCTACATAAAGTAACTCGTTACTTTACTCACAGGGCCGGCCCGCCCCTCCCTACAGGCAGATCACGCAGACTGCGGCGCACCTACAGTGCGAACAGCTGTAGGTCCAACACATTAAGTTGACGAAACACTCGAGTCAAATGTAATTAAAGTCAGATCGTGTCTTAGACGGGGCAGTGATATCATAAACCTGTTAATGTACGCATTCAAACACTTTTTCTGTTAGCAGCTGTATTCACCTTGCAGGTGCAGCTATGTGGCTTTATCCTGGATAAAGTGTTTAAGTCATGGATGTTTAAAGTTTAACTTCTTCATCTGTCTAATATTATAGTTGACTTTTCATTCAGGAAGTATGACGCTGCGCTGTCAGTACGCTTCTCCATGTTTGTGATTGGTCGAATGCTCCAAATAGCAAATACCACCCCTTTCATGTGAACGCGCACCTAACTAGATAGGACACGGCTGGCTTGAGCGATCCACTCAGTCTATGGATCCACTTGATAACCCGGGTCGTATTACCGTTTAGCGAGAGCGCGTATGTTTTGGATTAGGCCAACCGGCTAACTCAAACATATCCAGGTTAGGTTGAACCAGCTTCGTAGTATAGGCCCCAGAGGGGCATACCTCCACCCAGTGCTTGAATTGGAATGAAAAAGGTGCCAGTACTCTAAAATCAGCAACTTTTTCAAGTCAATTTTATATATACAGCCCACAAACAAGAATTTGGCTACTATAATGCTGGTGGGTTTGTCTCTTTACTACTGTATATTTTAGAAAGGTTCACTGTACTTACATTTTTTTATGATAGGCAGCGGATATGGCTAAAGCTCAGTAAGGTCAATATTAACTGAAAATATAGCAATCAAAGTCTAGATCTTCTGCTGAAGACACATGAAGCAGAGACCTTTCAGGTGAGAGCCCCTCTGGTGGTGTTCAACATTAATGACAAGGAAACAAAGCTCTGGTCAGAAGCATTTTTTATAAAAAGCTTTAACAAAATTAAGTATTTCTGTACATTTTGAATGCAATCTAACTTTCCAACTCAGAAAACGAAAAACGAAAAAGTGCCAAAAGTCTTCTCACATGGCTGAGCTGCTTTGCAATATACTTCACCACTGAAGAATACAAATATGTATAAAGTAAACTATGATGCAATCTAACTTTCCAACTCAGAAAAATGATAAAGAGCATGAACAAAGAACATGTAAAAATAAATGCAAAATTTGCACAATCTAAAATGAGAAACTGTAACTGCAAGTAACAAAGTCTGAGCCATGGTAAAGAGTTACATTGAACACCAAGCTGATCAGATAACTCCCTGGTTGGTCTGAAGTCCTTCTATCTCCAGGATCTGTACAAATCGGCACATTATGCCAAAAGTCTTCTCACTGGGTGAGCTGCTTTGCAATATACTTCACATTGTTAGAAAAGGCTCCAGAAGGCCTTGGGGACATCAGTATCAGGGGCTGAAGCTGGACAGGCTCTTTCATCAGCACTTCTCCTTCCCTTTGCCAGCCAGGACCTCACATACTGTTCCGGATTGAACTGTCCTAGTGATGGTCCATTACATTTAATGAAAACCAGGCTGGACAGTCGGCTGACAGAGAGAGCATTCCTTTTTGCAGTAAGGATATCGTTCATGCAGCTGAATGCCCGCTCACACTCACTAGTGGAGACAGCGATGGTTCGGACTGCTTTCAGTAGAGGCTCCATGGCAGCAGGTGTACGGGATGCCCTGGTTTCCTTGTATTCGCGAAAGCCCTGAACAGTCTCTCTTCTGTCCACTTTCAGCACTTCGCACAAACGTAGCACCTCTACGTCCCCATACTGTACGTCTAACTCCTCTTCAGGCCAACTTCCAGGATGGATAACTTTCATGTCCTGGATTAGCTGATTGTCCCGGGCCTCCCGGGCATGTAATGGGATTTCTCTTGTGCTGACATGAGAGGAGGTTGTGGAAGTCATTCTGTGTCTCAGATTCTCTACCATACTGCGGAAAAACTGACCTGCATGAATCTGTACAAGCCTGCCATTCTCACGCAGGGCAACACCCTTGAAGGACTTCTCAGCTAGAGCTGTAGGAACTGTAGTCATGTGTGGGCCAGGCATGGTGACCATGGATTCAAAAACTCGTATTTCTCGAGTTAAGAGCCTATCTGCTGTAGGCAGTGTCATCTCTCTTTTTTGGAGTTGCCGAGAGAGGTCGCTGAGCTCTGTGAGCGCATCGTACATCAGTCCCAGATTGCTGACAAACGTTGCAGATGTGAGCACATCATCCAGGCCCTTGTACTTTGCTCTGTCTCTGGAATCCCTGCTCGTGTCGTTTGCAGCATTTGTGAAGTGATCATGAAGCACTCGGTAGTTTTCCCAGACTGCTCTGACGCTCCTTTCACTTGAAGCCACCCAGCGGATGGACAAAACACGCCCTATCACCAGGAGACGCTGTCCGACTGCTTGCGCACACTGCGCTAACTGCCTCTGATTTTTGGGGGAGGCATGGAACAAGGAATAGAGTTTGTCAAAAAAGATCTGGAAATGATTGAGCCCTGAGACCTCCTTGACCACATCCCCAACTGCCAGCTCTAGACGATGATTGGAGCA